ATCTGGGATTGTGGTACCCCAAAGGCAGTACCATTGATCTTATTGGATACACAGATGCAGATTATGCTGGTTTCTTAGTTGATAGAAAGAGCACATCAGGTATGGCACACTTTCTTGGCTCTTGTCTAATTTCATGGGGTTCTAAAAAGCAAAATTCAGTGGCCCTATCCACAGCAGAGTCTGAATATATAGCTGCAGCTTCATGCTGTTCCCAGCTACTGTGGATAAGGAACCAGCTGAAAGATTTTGGTGTTATTTATAAAAGTGTTCCTATTTTTTGTGATAACACTAGTGCAATCAATATTTCAAAGAATCCTGTGCAACACTCCAAGACAAAACACATTGAAATAAGACACCATTTTTTAAGAGACAATGTGGAAAAAGGATTGGTGGAGATGTTGTTTTGTAAAAGTGAAGATCAAATTGCTGATATCTTCACAAAGCCTTTGTGTAGAGAGTCTTTTTGTAGGTTAAGAGTCCTTTTAGGTCTAGTTAGATTTTAGGTATTGGCTTCAATTACTTCCTTCAATGATTGGTTAGAATGGTATTCTCTTGTATAGTGTGTGTACATACTTATGTTGATATCTTTCAAGTGTTGTGTAGATGGTTCAAAATCTCAAAAGGATTGAGAATCATTGTTGTAAGAAACAGGTGAAATCAGGCTGAATTGCCAGAAACAGCGTGACATGGTTCTATACAGGTACCAGCAAAGGGAAACAGCAGACCAGCTCTGATATGTCATCCGATAATATCTTTTATTTTCGGAAGATTACTATAAGATATTTCCTTTTGGAAGGAATTTATCTTATTTCAGTTATTTAATCCCATATAAAAGGCAAACATATCATATGCCTTATTTATAGTTGGTTGAGATAATTATGGTAAAAGATAATTACCAAATTTTTTATTTCAATTTAAAAAAAAATATCCTTTACAGTTGCTTTTTATTGGCTCAACTAACTCTTTTCTTTCCTTCTTCTCTCTTTGTGCTTCATTGTTAAATATATACACTAACCCTTTGTGCAGATCATCAATCATCATCACTCGAAATTCTCTTTCTCTCTCTCGTATGCTTTAAATTCATCATTGTTCATTCGGTTACTGTTCACTCAAGGAACCAGCTCAGTCTCAGGGGGAACATCAGAAGGAAGCTCAAATGTCCTTAAGCCCGAAGTTGGAGGAAATTCGGAAAAGTCAGAGTGAAGAGGATGAAATAGAGATTGTTGGTTACAATGAGGAGACACTCATTGTTAAGACCATGGTACGAAGTAGAGTAACTCAATCTTCATTAAAGAAGTTCACTGAGAAGGTGTAGGAGGAACAATCCATTAATTCTCTTCCGGAAACCAAGAGAAAAAGGGTACCAGCAAGAACCTTTCACACCACAAAAGGGTGGAGGTCTTTGCTTGATTGATGTGATGCTAGTCTTGTACTCGTTATGCAACAAGGAGAACTTTATGAATAAGTGCGGATCTCTCATGATTTATAAAAAAAAAATAAAAAAAAAAAAAAAATAGAGGAACCAGCAGGTCAGGAAGTGGTTTTGAAACAGATTGGGGAATCACAAGAATATGCTTAGTAATATAATGATTTTGGTTTAAGCAGAGCATGGTGACAAGGATGAAGAGGAATCAGATGATAATACAGAAGATGTTGCAAAGTTCGAGGAGGAGGAAGGGAACGAGAATGATGATGAGGAGTGATGCTGTTTCTGTTCTTGTTTCCTCACCCTCATGTTTATTCTAAAATAACTGATTTTGTTGGTCTGTCTACTTCTCTCCATTCCATGAACTTTCTTTTTGGATGGATTTGGGCTTCTTTGGTTGAACTTTGTTGGCTTGTATGAACTACTAACTCTGCTATGGTATGAACTGTTTGACTAATCTCTTTTTGCAGCATAATGCTTGAATGGTGGTTGATGCCATTGTATGGATAAGCACATTAACTTGTGCACATTGCTTTTACTTGTGGATACTTTTTAATGATGCCAAAAGGGGGAAGTAGTTTGAAGTTGAAGCCTAAGGTTTAGCTAGTTTAGATTGAGTCAGTTTGAGTCTTTTTATTTCGTATTTTCTATTTTCTGTTTAGGGGACCAGTTAGCCTAACTGACTTGTTCCAAAGAGTTTTGAGTCCTTGAAGTTTTTGACGGTTTTCTTTTTGAGCATGTCCACAGGTTCAAGAACTTCAAGAGTTTGTCATCATCAAAAAGGGGGAATTTGTTGAGTCCCTTAGGTTTTGATTGATAGTTTTGAATGATGACAAACAGCTAAGGGAAACAGGTCTTTGAAAGTGTTCAATACAGTTGGGGGAACCAACTAAAATAGAACACTGTTTTCCTAGATAAGTTATTGATTATATGAGTTATCTATTGAACTAACTTATCTATATACAGGAAACAGTTAGATGATAAATGTGCTATGTACTGGTGGGGAACCAGTATGAACCGTTTCCTTGACTGCTATGCGGAAAAGCAGTCACATACTCTTTATTGTGCATTAACCATGTTACATGTGCAGTAGTTGAGTTGATTCCAAGACTTGGAGCATAGAAGCCTTTCGAAGATATTTCGAAGAAAGATTGTTTGCTCATAATAGAAGTATTCAAGGAAGATTCAAGTCTTGAAGATTACATGAAGAAAAGACGATTTATGCTTTAATATGTTATCTAGGTTTTCATGTAATATGCTCCGTAGTATGCTTGCATGTTTGGGTTATATAAGTGCTTAAAAGTATATTGAAGTATGATATGAAATCTGGTACAAAGTTGGAACAGGTTTCATAACATGTTTCAATTCAGGGAACCAGGTCGGGGAACCAGGTTCACTGTACGAAATATTCGAGCTGCCGTTTTGGAAAAAGATTTTACAAAAAGATTTTTTCGAAAAGATTATTTTGAAAATATTTTGTGCAGCTGGAAATAAGATGAAATATTCTTGGTTACCTAAAAACTAGGAGTATTTATCTTAATTGATTCTATCTTTGTGATTAAATCAAATAAGATAAATACTTTCCTAAAATTACAATATATCTTATTCTCTAAGATTGTGTGATTTAAGGAAACTAGGTTTTAGGAATCTAAGCTTATATAAACTCATCTTATTTCACATATTTCGGGTGCCTCTCCAGAAATTAAAAAGAGCAATTATTTGAGAGCATATACTTAAGCACTAATCCCATTCATCAAGTCATATACAAGAGCATTCTAGTACAAAAACATTTTCTCTTAATTAGCTTCGTAGAAGTGAGATCAAAGGAGAGTTCTTGATTCTTGTATTGAGTCTTTAACAAAGGGGTTAAAGGCTGGGTGAGTGTTTGTGAGTTCAAACACATTGGGCTTACGAGTGTAAGTCGAGAGCACACTCGGAGTAGAGTGTGGGGTAGACTGGTTCCCGGAGTAGGGAAACAGTAGAGTGTTCTTTGTCTTTGTTTTTCGGAGTAGATTAATAAAGGACTTAGGATAGGAGGACGTAGGCCTGAGTTGGCTGAACCTCGTTAAATTTGTTGTGTTCTTTATTGCTTTGTTTTATTCCGCTGCATAAGGGAACCAGCACAACTGGTTCCTTACACATAATCCGAAAAGAAGCAAAAATCGCTAACGATTACTTAACACTCAATTCACCCCCCCCCCCCTCTTGAGTGCCCATTGAACCTTCAGGTAATATAACTATCAAAGTTATCAACTATCATGCAAATATACTAACGTTTTGTTTTTATTGTCAACAAAATTCTAGGGTATTGGATAAAAAAATTCCTGTATTAAACTCATTACTTTCTACATAGTATATTATATAAGAGAGCATACTTAAGTTTGATTATCTTTTAGGACCTCGATAAACTTTGGAAGACATGAAGACAATCAGTATGATGATAGCTCTACTCTTTGTTGCCCTTGTGATTTGTTCAGGTTTGTACATTACTTATCTTTTTCATTAAAATAATAAATTACACGTAATGTTTTTTTTTTTTACATTATTGTAATGATTATTTTGGTTAACAACTATAGTATAACTTTACTAATAATTGATTAATGTATACATTAATATGATATTGGCAGCGGATGATCTTGGAACTTCAGAAGTGTCATGTTGTCAAGACAATCATATAGGAGAATGTATTCCAGGATCTCCAAGTGAAAGCAACTGCGACAGTTTATGTCGTAACAAGCCTTGCTCTAAAGGAGGCTTATGCAAAGTTTTACCACACCCTCCCCCTAATCATTATTGCCATTGTTATTGTTGATCTATATGCTATAGTTTCGCAATAATTATTATACCTACTTCAGTTCTTATCCGGTTATTAAAATAAGGAACTTTCATACTTTAACATTCATCTTATATAATGGCTCATTCTAAATGGAAGTCTTGATATTCAATTTATAATTAAAATTTATAGTATGTTATCTTATTATTTACTCTCTTTTTGTATTCCGTTATTACATTAGACTGTACAAGAGTCAAGATACATCGTATTTTTCTAAATTAGCTTGGTTCATTACTTGTTCTTCGGATACAATTTTTCAGACACACGCATTTTTCACATAATCTGAAATCAAAATTATCAAATGCATATGTAGATTATCACCAAAAATCAAATGCATGTAGCAACTCTTGCAACATCGATGGACATCATAATATGATCCTAGAGATATCAAGAGATAATATATCTGTTGGTATCAATATTATTATCGTATCCTATAATCTTCTGTTATTATCTTTAGTAATCACTAATTATATTATTTGATTATTGTAAATCCTTAGGTGAATAATAGAAATTGTATTATTGATTATTCTTTAGTAATATAATCAAGGTTTCTCTCACTCTATTATCTATTGTCATCACTATATATATTATTTGATTCTTGTAAATCCTTAGGTGAATCATAAAAATTGTATTAGGACTATTCTTTTGTAATATAATCAAGCTTTCTAGTTTCTCTCCTACACTCCCTGCTTCCCAACATTCTTTATCTTATAACTTTATCACATATGATAGACAAGCTGATAGCAAGGGTATAGTAATAATACTAGCTACTTCATATATTACAAACATCGAACTATGATCAAAATGTATAAGCTAGCATAAGATTAGACAAAGTAATCTATTCTTTAATCACTTTAAACGTAACACTACTACTTTTCTTGTCCACCAACACGAATGTGTACTCCTCTCCTTTATGTTCATCCCAATGGTTTTCTTTCATGAATTTCCTCCAAGATTTTCCATGTAAACGAATCAATTGCTTATAAACGTAGCATGCTACATGCCACTCCCTTCCATCCCCCGTTTGTAACATGATAGATTCGTACGACTTCTCCATGTGTTGGCTACTAAACCCCCGGGGAAATTGCTGAGGAAAACGGATGAGAACATAATGTTAGCGTGCTGAAAATAATAGCCACGCTGATACAACATATAAGTGTAAATTGAACTAGTATGCAGGCTAATGCATCAACATGACGAGCAAATGCATCAATGTGACAACTATATAAGGTAGTGAATTAATGATAGCATATACTAATACAGTTTAGTAATCACCAATACGAAGTACTACGTATAACATAAGCTAGAAGGCTCACCATATAGCAGTACTTGCCCTTGATCGAGATATGAGATTGTTGCACTGTAATGGTGAAGGAGGGTCTGTTGCTGTTACGCTCCAATACTTTGCCACCCCTGTGTATATCCTTTTCTGCTTCATCTTCGTCGTCCTCTACAACCTTTTCCTTGACATTCTGAGGAAACTTCTGCTTGGCATATTGATCATATTTTGTAGGATAGTCAATCTCACTACAAGATAAATCGAATATGTAAACTTTGAAACGCTTATTTCCTTGATACTCGAACTCCAGGAAGTAACCATATTCTACAGCATTTTGTTCCATAAAATTTGCCCATCCTTTAGTAAAGCAGAGCTTGTTATCAACTTGTTCGAGTGCAATCTTCCACGAAAGACCGGTTCGGATTGTGAGTCTTGCATTTGTTGGAAGCTGAAGGTTAAACTCCTTTGCAAATGCATCAGGAATACTCTGTCAAAAAACCAAATTATATCATATACAAGTATATTTTGTACTATAGTACGGAGTATTAGACATGCATTACAGAAAGAAAAACAGAATTACAATTATAAATACTCCATTCCACCAAAAGGAAATCATATGTCAATTTCGTTCTCATCCAACAAACTAAGTTAGTTACACTCAATATGCTCAATAATCACTGCTATCTAGCACCTGGTGAGGCTTTCAGCAAAAATAAATAGTTAGCCTTACTCTGTTACTATTATACAATTATGGGAAATTATGTTACTCAAACTCTTCAATTATCCATGCCGGATATTTACCATTCCGATATATGAGTAAGGATACTTAGACATTTCACTTTGGGTCAAAGTTATGTAAACTTTTCACAAAATAGCCACGTCGAACAATTGGACACATACTGTAGGTGTGTCCAACATAGATCGGAGAAAATAATCGTGAAAGTACGACAAATAATACGGACTATTTTTCCAAAGTGGACAATAAAAGATCATAAAGACTTCTATCCTACTCATACTTTAATACTTAAGTCACATTTCTATCTCCGTCCATCAAGTAATACTTGGTCCAGTAAAACTTATAGGGGACAACTTGAGGGTAGATATTCTTGTAACCTTTCCCCAGGCTCTCACAAACTTTGCCCGCTAACTAGGACAGTAGGACTGGGTTAACATGTGTGAGGTTCCGGTCTGACATGGCGCTTAGACTCCAGCCGTGCCCCTCTTTAGGTGATGATTCTAATGTAGTTTTATGACTCTTGCGGTTTTAAAATGGACGGTTGAGATTATTTGTTTTTTAAAATTATTTTTAATTAGTAATTTTAATTTTTTAATTATTTTAAATATATTTTTATCTTCCAGAAATTATTTTTTAAATATTTTATGAATTCTAGAAATAAAAAAATTTATATAAAATAATGAATTTTTTTTTTTTTAATTATAATTACTAATTAAAGATAAATAAAAAAAATAAACAATCTCAACCGTCCATTTTTTAAAAATTGTGGTAGTCAAAAGTTATAGGACTATATTAGAATTATTTTCACATATGCTATTACCATTTGTAAGATTTGATGCATAAAATAACAATCTGTACAACGTATTTGGTCTCAATAATTAAAAAAATAATCAATGTAATTACTTCTTTTTATTTCAAGCCAATTCCATGTTAATCACCTCTAACTCAATGGACCAGATCGGGTGACTTGCCAACTAAATATAATTCTCATGTCATATACTAAATCAATTATACCAAAAATCATCCAAAAAAAAAAAAATTATAAAAATTGAAAAAAATAATAATAAAAGAAGAGAAATTACCAGGGTTTTGGATTGAAGAATTTTAGGGAGGATAATTTTAAAGAACTTCTTGGGATTTATCTTCTTAAAATTTTTATCTTTATTACTCCCTTCTTCTCTTCTCCTTTTCTTCATTGCTCCCAGCTATTTTTTTATATTTTCTGCATCATTAATCCTGAAAAAAAAAAAAATAAATAAAATCAAACTTTTAAATTGCAAATTCAGTTCTAATTTTTTTTCCAAAATATATAGAATTTTCCAAAAATCAAACTTTTAAACAAACCCCCTGTTTTAACCAAAACCCTAACCCAATTTGATTTTAAAACCCTAGGAACTACAATAATCTAATCGACGATCAAGTAACGAAATCATGTTTCACACACATACTAGACATGGATTCCATAAAAATACAAATTAAAAACATTTTTAAAAAAATAAACTTTTTCATATCCATAAACACCATAATTGAGTGAAAAGCAAAATGATAAACTACAATTAAAGAGGAAAAAGACCACAGAAAAGAATATACCTTATGGAGCTTAGAATAATTAGAGTCTTGAAACTTTTGAGGGGCCACTTTAATGGAGCTCACTGAAGAGGAAGTTTTTTGTATTTTTATTAAAAAAGAAATGCTCTGTTTTTTTTTTTTTTTTTTTTTTTGAAAGAGGAAAATGATGAGGGAAGCAACTGACACTGAGTTGATGGTTATCTTAATTTCCGAGGAGAAATTGCAATTACATACTTTCTCCGTTTTTATTTCGTTGACACCGTTTACCTTTTACACTTTTCATACATTACATTTTGATTCGCTTTTATAATTTATGGGTACGATAAAATTTAGTTATGTATAATCTTGTTTGAATTGTCTCAATATATATTTTATTAATATACATTTTTTTTAATTTTATAATATTAATAATTAGAGATATTAATACGAAGGTTACCTCCGGTACACATGACATTCCCTTCATGCTACAAACCAAACTTCAGTCACTTGTTTACAACTTTTGACAAAATTCAGTACCCTCCATTATTATTAACTTGTATAATAAGGTAAAGTGTTACATTTTTCAAAGAAGTTACTAAAATTCAAGACAAATGTTCGTAATTTATTTTTCTTTATTTACGGAGTTGTGGTTTTTTTTTTTGGTGTCAATAGTCATTAAGTCATCATTGATGCTAACAGTGGCGGATCCAGGATTTCCGACATAGTGTGTCACCATCAATTATTGATCATTTGTGAAAGTACAATTTTTTTTTCCATGTCTTGTTCATAATTAATTTCAATCCAAAAATTATATATATATATATATTTCACCAAATTGATTTCAATCCAAAAATAGGACACAAAAATTCATACCACAACCAAATACAGTATTAAGAATTCAATTTTACAAGTCGAAAATACTACAAATAACATGTTATAAACAAATGGTACAATAAAATTATTATATTGAATTAACTTTATGATTTTTTCGTTAATTGATAAGCTTTATGGGGAAATATTAAAATTGGTTGTACAAATATAAGATATAAAAAGGGGAAAAAATTATTAAAATATTATACAAAAAAAAGTGAGATAACTTAAGAGACCAGTTATTAATATAACTGGTCTCTTTAATGAAAAAAAGTAGCAAAATAATTGCGAAATGCAATAGCAGCATCAAAGAGACCTTTTATATAAATAACAGGTCTCTTTAATATTTAAAAAAACCACAGCAAGTCTTTTGTAGCAATAGCAGCATTAAAGAGATCGCCTATCTTAATAAGAGGTCTCTTTGATATTGTTTGTTGTTACCAATAGCAGCATCAAAGAGACCACCTATCTATAATAAGGGGTCTCTTTGATATTTTATTTTTAAAAAAAATACTATGTCACCGGACCCACTATGACTAAAGGTGGGTCCGCCCCTAGATGCTAAGGTTCCAAAACTGGTTTTGCATTTTTTAAAACAAAAACAAGTATTTAATGTCCACTTAAATTTGCATGTCCTACGCTAATTATTACGTCAAAATTACTCCAATTCACACTCCAAGACTGGACTTGTAAAATCATTTTATCTAACCTTAAATTATTTCGTGTTAAAATATAATTTTTTCAAACAACACATGTACTGGTCAATATAAAAAAAAAAAAAAAAAAAAAAAAAGTAATCTTTAATTTCTTTATTAAAACGGATATGGAGTGTTAATATTTTGTACGAAATGATAACTTTGGTTGTTTGCCTTATAGAACGGCCAGTAAAATTCTGAATATGAACAGTAAATAATTGTAACCGTGGTAAACTGGTAATTACTGGTAATTTGCTTATTTACCTAGTCTTTTGTTTGATTAGGTTTTGTGGCCTTATTTTTGTAACTTTTCCAACTTTACAATTGTACTTTGTACTGTCTGTTAGTTTTATTTTTTCTTTGTTATTTGTTACAGGTTACTCTGTAGTCTGTACATATCAATATATCATTACTTCCTTTTCCTTAGTTTATTAAATACTCATATTGCAGAGTACAACGTTAACCTATTTTAGAAGCTTCACATACAATATGGAGTATATTACATCATAATCATTTCCAAAACAATTTTTATTCCAATACATGGATTACATTTTCATGGCTTTCGCCAATTAATCTAGTTGTAACATCTTGATAAATTCTTATCAAGAATATCACATAAGAACTTGTTGGTGGTTCAACACTTTGCATCTAGGGCTATATTGTCTGCTTGTAAGCTTGTTGTCTCATCTAACAATTCTCACCAAGGTTTCATCCCATTCTGAAATTTCAAAGAAACCTAAATCACAATACAGCAATACAAATTGTACGTTATAACATCTACTAACAAATTTACTTCTGGCTTCTGTATTTCTATGCAACTAACCCTATTCCTAGTGCAATCAAAAACTAGCACAAGATGTCTCAATGGAGTGGACAAGGTACTTCCCTTCATTGAACAATTTGGACGAAAACAGAAGAGAGAATTCTAGTTAGGTCACTATTTACAGATGAAATCCTGCTTCTTCAGGGAGCAGGAGGCATGGAGGTTGACACGGCAACAAAGCACAAGTATTGAAGGCCGTCCTGAATTTTATCCACAGCAATAGTCTGATCTGCGCGGAGAAGTTCTGAAAATGCATTGGCTCTGTCTTGAATTGACTTCTCTGGAGGAGTTTCATGAGAATCAGTTGTTGAAACAACTTTCACGGCAGCAAGATAAGCTTCAGTCACATCAGATATACCTGAGGGAGAAGCAAGATTATGAACACTCTAAGAAGCCGAATTGCAAAGATATAGCAAGTAGGAAAAGGCTAATCTAATTTACTCGCAATCATCAACATATTTGACAGGTTAAGCGTTCAATATAATACATGTTATCTCACAAGTCACAATTGAAGCTACCCTAATAACCTTTTCAACCTCATATTAAACTTGTGGGAATATTGAATTCTGAGTTATGATGTAAAAATTAAGGAGACATACAACCAACATTTTGCAGACAAATCAATCAAAATTTTAACATGTTTGAGGAAGGAATTACCAGTGATGAAGCTCTTAGAAACAGCTTCCATGCTCTCGATCATTGATTGAGCCTTGGATCTGATTATTTTAGCTTTTTCAAGAGAATCCTCTGGCCATTGAATTTTAATCCTATCTTCATCTGCATTTATCTCCTGATTCTTGTTTGCACTAGATATCATGGATTTTCCCAACATCAATAGTTGAGACATGGCAAAACAACAAATCTCTGACAGCCTCTGCGAGATTCAAATAATGAAATAACTTAATTGAAATAAAGTTGAAACATTAAGATTTAGAAAGAAAGATGCAAAGTAACCACTTACATGAACCCCTTCAGAGTGTAAAGTTTCCAGTCTGCCAGTAGTCCTTTGGATGATGTCATTAGCACTTACTCCAGCTAGGGCGCTAGTAAACCTGAAAACATAGCGAACACAAGAGAGATCAAGTTTGACATATATTAACATCCAGAAAAACGTCAATAAAGTTGCACATTCATTTCCCTGAAATATTGACAATATAGAAAAGAACAAAAAGAAGGGAGCTTATATGTACAATTAACATCTATAAGCCACTACTATATTAAAGCCTCAAATTACAAGAAACGGGACCTAGACTTCCAGCTCTAGCATAACAAGGACATTCCATAATGATTATTATCAAATAAAACAATAACCACCATCAATTTTAGCTCCTGGAATGAGATCTTGAGGGTTTGCTTGTAAGGAATTAGTATTTAGCAGTTGCTATGATTAATATTGTTCTTCCAGACAGCTGCAGAGTTTCATCATCAAAATGGATCCCATGAGCACAAACAAAGCATATGGCCATATAGTACTCACAATCAAGGAAAGAGCATTAGTAAATGAACTTTATCGACAAGATCTTGTCTACATGAATTACCACGACTCCATGAGATATATACTAATTGCACAAAAGGGAGGATAGCTGACGCTTACCCTGCAGCCAAGTCAGCAGCCTTACTGAGACTTGAGTCATGTAAGCTCTTGAGTTCAGTGTCTTCAGCCTCAATTTTTATATTCTTTCCTTTGTCTGATTGCAGAGTAGTTCTCTCAGTTTCAGTATTCAAATTAAGAATTTCCTCAACCTGTTTCACTTTTCCCTCATATAATGACTTCTCCTCTGATGACAACTTGGCTTTTCTTCTGTTAAAAATTAGGGAATAATGGCTTGACAATGCCTCCAATTCCTAAGATACATGTAAGAGTGTTAGGCGATCAATAAATCAACTCACTGGATGAAACTTCCTTTTGCAACAAAACAAACCTCCAATTGTTCGGGGCCTCCATATATGTAGAAACACCGGTCAAATGTCATTTCCTCATACAGCAGGTTGTCGTGACTTTGATGATCATCTCCATCAAACTTCTTATCAACTTCAATACCAGTCTCAGAGATCAACAAATCCATAGTCTCCTTACCCACGTTTTCAAGAACTTGCATTCCCTTGAAAGTAATAGCTTTTCCAGTCTAACATAATAAACGCTTAAATATATCTTCCTTAGGAATCAAAAGGTATGGGTGTTAAAGACATAATAGGGCAAGAAATTCAAACCTCTAAGAACGATGGAGCAATCAAACTTGCATCATGTTGAACAGAATCAGCTATGCTAACAGCAGAATGCTCAAGTCTGTAGAACAAGAAATTCCATTATTAACTTTTAAGTAAACGTAATTCAAAGGGGTTTGCGATAGACAAAATCAATAAAATGATCCATGTGTGGTATTCAGAGCTCAAATAGACAGCAACAATTTTAAGAGGGAAAAAAAATTCCATCTTGATCAGATATTTCAGCAACAAAGACAAGTGTTCTAAAATGTAAAATACTTTCTTAATCTTCAACTCCCCCTATCCAGAAAATTAATTAACGTAATCCCAACCTCTCATAATTAACAAGAAACTAAATCATTTTACAAAAGACCCTTTGCAATAGTTGTATTACTCCATATGAAAAGATGACTACTTATCCAAACATCCTAAGTTACTCCGGGGTATATGAGAGTAATGTGACTACTAATTTCTGGCAAAGAAGTATGTAACAAGGGTCAAGATCTTGAGTGTAATTATGAGTGGTATCCAAAACAGAATCATGAGTTTATATTGGATATCTCGAGAAATATGTATACAAGATGACTAAAACACTTATCATGATATAGGAAGGCCCTATTCACTTGAAACAATAAATGTTAAAAGGAGACTGGGGATTGTTAGATAAAACAAACCTCCACCACCAGAATAGAATCAGCCATATGCTATGTTGTGGAGGCCCAGCAACGGCAAGTTATCAGAAAATAGTTAGCATTTGGTAGGGGGACCATAAAACTCCGGTCAAAAATGAGATTTCTTGACGCGCACTTAAACCAAGGAGGCAATTTGTCAGATATCTTCACAGGCTACCAAAACGGTATCATGGTGTGAGTTATAGAGTTTTGAAGCCTTATCCAGGAGCACATTCTATGTCAGGTGAATCTTGGAGATCCCAGTAAACTATATAGGATGAGGCCAGAGGTTGTATCCTAAAGTAAGGTCATGTGATCACAAGCCACCATCATATAAAAGGGCTCCACAGAGACCAGTTTTGGAGTTGAGGGAAACCCCATATAATACTAATAAAGTAATGACCGTAAAGGACAAATTCTGAGAAGTTTTTTTCCTCAAAAGTTGTATGCTTTTACAGAAAAGATCTTCAACTGAAAGTCTTGTACAATCTTCCTAGATTTACTTACCCTTGTACTACTTTAGTTCAAATTTTAATTAAACTATAAGGTTTCTATAAACAAATTTAATTCTAACTACTAAAAACTCATTTTCTTATACACAATTTTTCAAGCTTGGCTATGGTCAATAAGACACCAAGTGGCTTTCTTCCAATTTTACCAAGATCTTCCACTAGCTTCCTAAGGGATCAAAACAAACATGATGCCCATTGGCTTTAAGATGGGTACCTCTTTTGACACTGGCCTTGGTTGAAGAAGAAAAAGGCCTGCAGTGAGAACCTAGGCCTAAAAATCATGCATGAATTGTGTGTTTGACTTGGAGCAATAAAAAGTCGTGTAGAAAATACTAGACCACATCGCACCAATCTTTTCCCAAAGACCCTAATAATTCCACGACACTATCAGAACAACTAGAAGCATTTTTGTGAATCAACATTCTTCTCAACTACTCCCTAGTCCCTCCTTTTTCATGCCACAGCTATGCCAATTGACAAACATGAACAATAAGAAGAGTGAAAAGGCGATATAGAGGACTAGTTTAAGTGGAATCATGCACTAAGTAACAGTAAACATTTAAGACAATCAATTCAGACAAGTCATGTAAGCCTAAACAAAATTAGGAAAGTCAGAGAGATAAAGATAACAATATGCTTATTTCAACAATTTATGATCACCAATCCTCAACAAATAATGAAGTCTTCCACAATAATGCAAGAGACCATATTTAAGCAAAAGCTTGCATTCTTAGATTCAAACCTACTTTTGAATGAGGTTAGAACCGCCTTGAAATGCACTTCCTAGTGCCTTCCAGGCTCCTGATGCAAAATTTTCCACTGAGCCATCTATCACCTTCAAACCCTGCCCATATAAGAAGCAAGGAATGAGTGAAGTTACGTATGACATGCAAAGAAAGAACATAGGCAAGGTCCGGAAAAATAAAGATTAACACATTTAGATTGACATATGTAAAATAAAAAAATAATAAAAAATAAAAATAAAAAACATATGGTAAAAATAAGATGCAGATATAAAATTATTGAGCTTTTGCCTTTAACAAAGTGCAGGATTTGTTATAAGAAAGAGATAACATGAAGTTATTGCCAATGGAAAAAATATCAGGCAGGTCACATGATAGTGTATCTTACACCAGAGAATTCAACATATCAACATTATAATCTAAAACGGCTTTACATAAGTCATCTAAGATTACATTGAATTATAATCAAATATTACTATATTAGACTACAAAGTTGCATGTGTGTGTGTGTTTTTTTTTTCCTGCTTATGACTTACCTGGCTAAAAAATGTGTCTTCACTAGCCTTCTCCAACTTATCCAGAGCAGACATCAACTTTTCCTTTTCTTTTCCATCTTCCCCTTCTGTGACAGAATCTATAGTGTCATCCTCTGTGTTCAAAGGTTCCTCTTCAGCAACATCTTCTATGTTACCAAAGCTCTCAGCGGCCTGCATTTGGAAATATATATTCAGTCAAGAAGAAATCATTATAAAGATTTAAGAGAAAAGTAAAAACAGTAAATGTTTACTATCTGTATTACTTTCTTAATTTCTTTTATAAGGATACAATTTAGATTACTGAAAGAAACAGAAAACACAAGGAGGACAAGCACTCTGCACTCTGAAAATTATGCGGATACAGATACAGGACTCAGGTCTTTCAAGATGAAATTTTACAAATAGTCCATGAGTTGATAAGCATGCATCTAAAGAGGTACCAGATACAACAAAGTCTCACACGGTCACACCAAGTAATGTTAACAGACACCTGATTTTGAAGAACTCCATTTTTTCCTCTCAACTGTACTAACCACATAGCAAAGGAAAAAATATTCACAATATTTTTCACCCTTATACTTCAGAGAGGTCATAAGAATTCACAAGTGGTCCTTAATTACAAGATACACCCAAACTCCCACAAAAAAGGTTCCTGTATTAGGCTACTGCAAAGAATTCGTTCACTTCACATTACAATATGTTTGCTGGGATAAATCTGAGTCATCATAAATAGTAAATGGCTTATAAAGTAATGGAAGATAGTGGCCAGTGGCAATCAGGGCCAAAGTAAAAGACGGAAGAACACAAGGACCCCATGAAAGAAATAGATGAAGAAAAGTGGCAAAGGGCAGAGAACAGAAGTAAACCACTCCGACTTTTAGGGAAGTGAACAATTCAATCATCTTCCTAAGGGAACCTGATATTTCTACTGCAACAAGATAAGACTATTCATTATACTAACCACCAAATATTTGGTTTAGGGAAGATCATATCAGCTAATCCACAATGAGTTGAATAAAGCACAATTGACCGCGATACCTATATCCCTCGCAAGGCCATAATACATCAACTAAACAAAATTTCACGGCTAAAGACCGAGCTAAATCGTAAACGCATATCCAACCATGATTATCAATATTCACTCATTTTAAACTAATCTCCACAACTTTGTATTCATAGCACTTCACATATGGTAACAGAATAAGTGCCTCATTAAAGAAACGCTTTAATCCAACTGTGAATGTCAAACTTCTCTCATTTCAAACTACTCGCCATAGCTTGTGTTTTCATAGCATTCTACATATGGCAACAGAATGAGCGCCTCATTAAAGAAACGCTTTAATACCTAATCACCTACCAAGCGAGCCATAAATGAACACCATTGATGTAAATTGAACAAATTCCTATCACCAATTTCATCGCATATAATACAACATTAGAACACAACACATTGAAGTTTAACATTAATAACTCATAAAACCTAACTTTCACTATATTTAACACTAAATTCGAATTTCCTAAACCTAAATTTTCCATACAAAATCATTTCTCGAATTTCTTAACAATCTAGGTTAAACACCAACAATTATAATAAAATCAAATCAACAACATAGAAAGATAGAGAGAGAAATAGTACAGTGCGTATCTCCTCGGCGGCAAGCGCGGCAGCTTTCTGAAGATCTGAGAGATACGACAATGGCGAAAACCCCCATCCTCCCCAACCACCACCGCCGCCACCACCACCTCCGCCATCAGCGACGGGCGCCTTAGTTTCTGGTTCAGTAATCGCCTCATTTACTCTCTCCTCCGCCATTGAAGACTTGGTGTTAGCTTCCTCCATCAAAAATGGCGGCGTTTCAAATAAAAAAATTTCAAAAATAAAATCGAAAACTTTTGGTGTCGTGTTGTGATTGGTGCTACTTCGCCATTAACAAAGAAGGTTGAGATCTGTTTGATTTTGGTGGTTGGATGACGATGATGATTCAAGGTTCCGTAAGTTTGAGGTCGTTGTGTTTTTTTACGGATTTACCCCTCACATAGTCACGTGCTTTGTACACGGACCCTTATGCTTAAACTGCTAAACGACGGCGTTTAGTTTTTAATTTACTGCTTTATTGCTCATCTGATGGATTTTGTTGCATCTGTGTCTATTTGCGTTAGCTAGTTAAAATAACGGACTTTTCACCACATATTCTTGAGTTATTTTTTTATTCACCATATACCCAACTTTTTTTTCAAATTCATCAAATACACTTGAGTTTCAAAAAATTATCACCAAATGCCCTTAATAACTAACGGCAGTTAACTCCGTTAGTCATTTAAGGCTAATTATGTCACGTGGCAGCATCTTATTGATTGTCTTTTTGATTAATTAATTAAATTTTAAAATAATTATTTAATTAATTTTCAAAAATTAAAAAACCCAACCTACCACCAACTCAGCCCCTACCACCACCCAATCCCCGCCGATGACCTAGCCCAACCACCCCGTGCTGGCCACCTGATCCCCCGACCAGTGACCCAGACCAGCCACCCCTCGTCGGCGACCTTTTGTACCCCTAAACCACCCATCCCCCAATCCTCAAAACCCCTTTTCTCCCTCGAAAACCCCTCCCCTCCCCACCGTCGTCGTCCAAAGCACCCCTCCCCGCGTCGGCTAACCAAAATCGGCTCTTCCCCTCCAAGCTCCACCCTTTGAACCACCACGCACCACCCCTAAATTAAAAAAATCCTAAAATCGAAATCTAGGGTTTCGATTTTGGGGTTTTTTAATATAGGGTGGTTGTTTATGACTAAGGTGGGCGGCGACGTCATAAGGGAAGAGGTCTGAGTTGCCGGCGAAGGGGTTTCACCTATTTCCTCCCACTCCCCCCCCCCCTTAAACCACCACCTCAACACACTAAAACCCCAAAATCGAAACCCTAGATTTCGATTTTAGGGTTTTTTAATTTGGGGTTTTGGTGTGTGGTGGTTCAGGGGATGAAGATGGAGGGGGGGTTCGCCGGCGTAGGGAGGGGTTCTTGGTCGCCGACGGTGGGGAGGGGAGGGTTTTTCGAGGGAGAGAGGAGGCGATGGCTGCGGTTGGGTTATGGTGGGTGTTTTTTTTGTTTTTTTTTTGGGTAATTAATTAAATAATTATTTTAGAATTTATTTAATTTAAATGACAACCAACCATATGTTTCCACGTGGCATAATTAGCCTTAATGACTAACGGAGTTAACTGCCGTTAGTCATTAAGGGCATTTTGTGATAATTTTTTGGAACTCAAGTGTTTTTAGTGAATTTGAAAAAAAAAAGTTAGGTATTTGGTGAATAAAAAAATAATTCAGGGGTATATGGTGAAAAATCCGTTGAAATAATTGAATGGAGTAGGGACTAAACGTGGTAAAGTCACTCCTACGAATAGAAATATACAAGTACGTAATGTATTCGTTTGTGGATTATTTATTTATTATCGATAACGCATTAGAAATGGCATGTTTGTTGATTTTTTTAATAAGGTGAGAATATGAAATAGGAAAATTGTAATCTAATAATCCCACCTTTAGTTGGTCTTCCATAAACAATCCCACCTTTTGAAATTCCAGAAACAATCCCACTTTTGAGCCTCATCTTCCACTAACGATCCCATTGACCTACAACTTGTTAAGCAGGTTATTTTATTTATTTATTTATTTATTTTAACTATGCTCCTTCTCAAGCCACTAGTCCAACCACCACCCAACACTCACTCCTTACCGCCACCCCCACAACCAAGCCACCACGAAACTCACCAACCACGCCGGAAAATCCATTAACCACCCCTGAAACCCAACCCCCACCACGAAAACTCCACCCACTGCCACAAAATCCCCACACCAGCCCCCTAAAAGGCTGAAACTCAATCCTCAGCCACGAAATACTCCACCCCAGCCACGAAATAGTCTACTCCGGCCCTGAAAACGTCACCCATCGTCTCCAATTCAATTTTTGGTTTGAAATTAAATGCAAATTATTATTTCAATCATCTGAAAAATCGAATTGAAAGGGAATGAATTGATGAATTCAGAGGAGAGTGAAACATACCAAAGAGAAGGAGAAGGAGAAAGAGGGGTTCTGGGCTGCGGATTGGGTTGGGTTTTTGGGGAAGCTAGGCGGCTGCAAGTGCTGATTTCGGGCTTCAGGGGTTGGGTTCCGGCGCCTTGAAGGGGTAGGTTGGGTTGCCGGGAAAAGCAAGGGCGGGGATGGGGAGGGGATGCGGTGGTAGGATGGGGAAGGGATACGGTGGCTAGGCTGGGGGTTTTGGTTTTGTTTTTTTTATTATTATTATTTTTTTTATTAGTTTGTTTTTTTTTTAAAAAAAGTTAAACCTATTAAAACTTGACACGTGTCTTATAACCTATGAAAACCGGTTATCAAAACAATACAACCGGTAAAGGATTGTTAATGGAAAATGGGGGTTTAAGGTGGGATTGTTTCTGGAATTTCAAAAGGTGGGATTGTTTATGGAAGACCGACTAAAGGTGGGATTATTAGTTTACATTTTTCCTATGAAATAAGAATATGTTGGTATTGAAAAGTTAGTACTAATTTAATATAAATGCATTTAATTATGTGGATTTGTTTCGATTAGTAATATAAGAGGTAAGTGTTAGAATTTTACTATATCGATTGAGATAAAAATTGTCAGATTTGCTAGATAATTCAAGATATATCTTCTTTTATTCTTCTAAGGCTTCATATTGTCAAATAATTTGCCCAAACTTTTACAGTTTCAAAGTTGATATTTGTGTGAATATTAGATTTTGATTCTAAGAAATGATATCGCATGATGTATAGATCTTGCGTTGATAGCTTAATCACTCTAATCAATAATTATTGTGTACATTTCAAGTGATGATTTCAATTTTTAGGTTTATTATTTATCTATGGAATTCTACTTATATATGGAGTTTATACAATTTCAAAAATTACTTATAGTTAAGCTTACAACATTCGGTTTTGTCATGCCATCATTATTTGAAACTCAAATCCATTTTTTGTATAAAATACTTTGTGCATGCTTAAGATTATTTACTTTATTTTTCATAACTCACCATATATACGAATATTGTTCTACATCGCTTGTTTAGCAACAATTTCTCCATCACACCCATGTAAAAAAATTTGTACATGTAAGAAGGAAAGAAATGCATGGTTCTATTGTTACAATGTTGTAAAAAAATTGTATGATTTGTAACTTTGTATGAAAGAAGTGTTTTCACTTGGCACCTATTTATATACTCTATTAAGTACTCAAACATGAGTAAATATATGTTTACAAAATAGACATTATCAGTATTAAAATGTAGTTAAAAATAATTGGCAATACAAAGTATTAACTACATAAACATTAATAGTACAAGTATCTTGCTGAATGAACATCATCATCTTCGTTTTTCTATTAATGATACAAGAAAATGAGTGGCTATAACTTTAATAACTCTGATGAAAAAAAAAATTTAATTAGCTGTAATGAACACTAATTGATTAATATCCTGGGAACATGGGTGGAGGAGGTGATGAATATTGGAAGCCTATGTTTGGTGGAAGGTTAACATCAGGATAAGGTGGGGGTAGGGATGGAGATGGAGTTGGAGGCGGTGGAGGAGGCGATTGAACAGGTGGTGGAGGAGAGAAAACGGGTGGTGGGGGTGAAGGCTTAGGAGATGGTGGAGGTGGTGATTTTACTGGTGGTGGTGGGGGTGAAGGCTTAGGAGATGGTGGAGGTGAGAAAACAGGTGGGGGAGGTGATGGCTTGGGAGCTGGTGGAGGTGGTGCTTTTACTGGTGGTGGTGGGGGAGAGTAAATTGGAGATGGTGGAGGAGGTGAATGGATAGGCGGTGGTGGTGGAGAATGAACAGGTGGTGGAGGAGATGGTGTGGGTGGTGGCGGAGAGTGAACTGGTGGTGGTGATGGTGGTGGAGGCGAGTGAACTGGTGGTGGAGGTGAGTGAACCGGTGGTGGGGGTGGGGGTGGTGAGAAAACTGGCGGTGGAGGAGAATATACAGGTGTTGGAGGTGGTGAGTAAACAGGCGGTGGAGGGGAATATACAGGTGTTGGAGGTGGTGAGTACACTGGGGTAGGGGGTGGAGACTCTTCGTGACCATTCTCTGGTGTAGGTGTAGGTATAGGTGTGGATGGTCTAACAGGCGATCTTTTATGATCATCTGGTGCCGGAGCAGGTGCCATTGGTGTTTGTTCAAACGGTTCAGGTGGTGTAGATGGTCTAACTGGTGATCTTTTGTGACCATCATCTTTAGGAGTCGGTGTTGGTGCTTTGGGGTGATCTTCATGATGATCGTTATGCTCAGGTGTAGGAGGCTTAGGTTGTTCTCCTCCATGACCTCCGCCACCACCGCTGCCTTTACCTGGAGTAGGCTGCCCACCACAATTAAACTTTTCACAATCAACTGTGTTTGACTCCATTTGGAAACATTCTTTAGGGGATCTTTGATTAGGCCTACTAGGCAAACAATTCTTCTTGTCTTCAAAATCAACATTTTTTCTTAGAGATGGATCACAACTCTTACCCTCGCCCTTAAAATAGTTGCTGGAAAACAAAAATTGTTCCAAAAGGGGCAACTTGCAAATATCATCAGCAACAAATCCAGTAAATTTATTGCCTGACAAGTCAAAAGATTCCATACTCGCAAGGCTAGAGAAACATGTTGGAATAGGACCAACAAACTCATTCTTAGATAAATCTAGTACGGACACATTATGAAGCAACCCAATCTCAGCTGGCATGCACCCACTTAGTTTATTTCCTCGGAAAATAATTTGATTCAACTTACCTGCCATGTTACCTATAGTTTTGGGGATACATCCAGTAAACTTGTTGTTTGCTAATACCATAAGAGAGACTGTTGAGTTACCAATGGTCTCCGGGATGGCACACCTGAACCTATTATCGTTGAGCAACAATGCGTCGAAAGGCCTATTAAAGACCTCCGGAGGTAAACAACCCTCAAAATTATTGAATCGAAGATCAAGATACTTGAGTGTCTTTAATTCAAGCACAACCTCCGGGAAAACTCCTACAAAACGGTTATTACTTACATCAAGCTCGAATAGAAGTTGAAGGTTCGAGAAGCTCTTTGGAATAATCCCACAAAACCTATTAGAGTTGATGTGGAAAAGGGCTAGGTCCGTAAGGAGGCCTAACTCTACGGGGAGATAACCCGCTATGTCCTCGTGATTAAGGTCAATGCCAGAAACCACAGTTATCTTCTCGTCATCAAGAGCCGGAGAACAAAACACACCCTTGTAGTCACATACATTCGGACCATTCCAATTTCTTGTGACGTGGTTTGGGTCTGAGTAGATGGCCGACTTCCATGCTTGGAGAGCAATGTAGGCTTTTCGGAGCCTTGAATTTGGGAATGTGAACGGGACATTTACTTTTTGGTCATAATCATCAGGAAGGTCGTGCCCATTTTCGGCGAGGATGCGGAGTTGGCGACGAGTGAGGAATGCAGCCTCCTCGTCTGTTAGTGCATATGAGGGAGAAGACAATAAGGAAGATAAAATGAGGAGGGATAAACAACAGCCTAAAGGCCGAACTAAGGAAGGAAAAATCTTCCCCATTGATGGCAATTAGGCAAGGCACCCCTTAGAAGTTAAATGATGTTAATATGGAGGTAGAAAAAACTGGTTGGTTTTTTTAGACACCCAATACTTACGCAATTTTCTTGCCGCAAATTATGTTAACTCTCTCATGCTCCTTGAATTTTGAGGCAAATAACTATTGTTGGATGAATTCTTGCAAATTCATAATGGGTAAATGATGTTTACTAAAAATAACTATCACCCCCCCTTTTCAAGTAATCAAAATTATCTTATGGTTGTAATTCATACAATCGTCACATTAAGTTTAATTCTTTGGAAAAAATAATTATTTTTGGTTGATTTACATAATTTTACTTACATTACGTCATTGTTGAAAAAAATAAAAATAAATAAACTCCTACTAATGTTTTCCCTCAAAAAAAATGTTATTGTTAAAAAAGAAAAATAAAAAAAGTATTGACCATTCATAATTAATAGTAATTAATATCATATCACGCGGTCTTTTTCTTAGAGAAACCTATTTGATCTTTGATTTGTATTTATTTATTTTATTAATTATAAGCTACCCACTTTAAATTCCTTATTGTATAATGAAATTAGATTTATCAAATAAATAAATATAGAAGTTAAGACTTTTTTCTATAAACTAATTTTCTTTTTGATATGAATTATATTCCAAAATATCTAAGAAGATGTATACAATATATATAGTTTCAATATTATTATTGCATGTGTAAATTTTGATCCTTCACATGAAAAGTCATTTGGACCTCTACATTCAAATAGTTATTTTTTTTATTTTATTTTATTTTTAGAAACGTATAATGATGAATGGAAGCAATGTCATTAATGATGAGATAGCTATGATGTTTGTAATGGATTAATATCTTAAGGTTTCCCAAGGGTGGCATGGAAAGGGGAGATGACACGTATGTGTTATTTGATAGTATAAGGTAAAACAAGTAATAGAACATGTTTAACAGTTTAAGTTTTTTGAATTTATATGGATGATATACAGTAACATTTGTACTCTTGAATTGTGTTTACAACATGCATGTCATTGTGTATATATGTTAGTATATACAAGAAGAGGGAAAAAATCATGGAGACTTGATAATGGAACTAGGTTGTAAATTTCAATCAAATTTGTTAAAGACATTTGTCAAATTTTTTGAAAGGAGTTATAGTAAACTTTGAATTTAATCACTTAAGTAACTATGCTGTTTAAAGTTGATTGATAGGAAAGAAAATTGTTCACATGAAAAGTAAGTATCCAAGTGGCTAAAATAATTTTACTTTTAAGTAATTACTGTAATTTACACTTTCTTGCATGACACTTAAATTAAAAATCTCCTTCCCACAAAATTAAAAATTCAATTTCAATATCTAGTTATGAATCTATTGTGTGATTCTTGTGAAAGGCCAATTGTACTATTAATTAAGTATATGAGTCGAGTTCATGAAAAGTTAGTTTTTGTTGCATTCATATACTCGACGAAACCCAAGATACTTTAAGCATTGTGATTGCCTTAATCTAAAGGCTTAAAAGGGGTTTGGAGATATGTGTATTTCTTCGTGCAGCTCAATTGACTTAAGCGATCAGATTAATTACAAATGTAAGGTAAATTGCTCAATTCTCATAATCCTCTTTTATAAGTCTAGGAAATTGAAACGTATATGACATTGCTCGATTAATCCAAAATCTCTCAACCCAACTAGCTAGTAGTATACTAGTTTGTATAAATTTGTAAGTTTGGTCATGACACGAGTTACGTTCTCGCCCTAATCCATACACGAACAAAATATTAAATTATACTTACATAAGACTAAATGTCCACGTCTAAGCATGTGGATTGGCTTAGAAAGTGAGCAATTTAATGTTATTTTGTTCTCATTGTCCAAGTTAAAGGCAATGGTTGCGAACAGCCGAACACCACATAACTTACCTTACATGAGGTCATTTTTCCTAATCTAAATATAATTGATTATTTGTTCTCTCGTCTCTTGATAGAACAATTTCTATAAAAATGCATAAAGAAGTTAATAAATCTCTCAATTACGTTTTTTTTTTAATAAAGAATTCCCAACGATGATTTGTCAATAAATGAACCAATTTTTTTATTCTGTATTTAAAAAAAGATTCAATCTGGATGTAAACCATTAAATATTTTAATAGTTCCTAAAGATAAACTATCAATTCAATTAGCGTTCATTCAATTATAAACCCCTAAACGTTCCCCTCGCTATATTAAAAAGTAGGTTAGTCTCATGCGATGCACGATTTTAACAATTAATTTTTTTAACAATTAATACGTAGTATAAATAATTTAAGCAAAATATAATAAATGGATGAATTAATGAAAAGTGGAACCCCAACTTCATACGATCTTTATAAAATATACAGAGTAGGAGAAAAGATAATATTTATAGGAAAATGAAATAGTCTAATCACTTCATACGAAAATTGTGTAGCCAGTCAATTTAAATAAAAAAATCTTTTAGGAAAATATATAATTACTTTATCATTTTCTAATCTTTATTTATCTTGAAAAAATAAATAATGATGTCATTAATTATTTTAGCGGAAATTTTTTTTATGAGAGATTGACACGTGTATAGTAGTGATGTTAGCGGTAATTAGTTTAGTTATATTTACTAGGTTAAATAAATGATGATGAATATATCATCTTTAGCATATATTGAGGACCTATGCAAACAACTAGTCATTCAAAAAAAAAAAAAAAAAAAGCATAAATCATTAAGAGAAAATTTCGTCTAGAATCGTTGCTAATGTTGAGCACCACGTTGATGACCATGTGTGTTTAATCAACTTTGAGTCATTTGACAAAAATCATGAGTTAAGCATATCAACTCAGGGCATATATATGATACACCTTACACATTATTTCCTCTATCATCATGAAAAGAGAAGAAAGATCGTTAGAAATATATCAACATGTAGCACGTACATAATATTAACAAATACTAAACAATTTGTAGAATGGAAAGAGATGAGAGAAAGGAAAATGTTTTTTGAGTAACATGAAAACAAAATGACAGTAGGAGCTCATTAATTAATAAGACAGTAAAAAAAAAATCAGTTTTCTATGATTAGCAAATTTGTGCAATTGTACTGTAGTTTGTAGAAGCATCTACACCATGTTTGAATTTTATTTAGTAAACCATTGTAGTCATTATTCATAATCCAATTTTCAAAATTTTCAAACCAATTTAAATGGAGTAGCTTAGCTTTAAATTTTTTAAAAAAATTTGATAAGATTATGTCATCAATGCATTTAGGCGGGAAAAAATTTCATGAAAAAGCGACACGTGTACTGATTTGGAGAAGGATGATGTCAGTGATTTCTATTATAGTTATAGGTAGATTAAAAATAATTTTAAAATAACTAACCACAAATGTCATAAATGTAATAATTTAAGGCACTGTTAGGCTTTTTACAAGTTTTTCTTATCACATGTATCAATGTATTAATGTATGTAGTTTCACCTTACTAAAGTTCATGAAACAAGGATTGTTTATGTTATTATATCAAGAAACTAAGAAGTATAATTTACTCATTTTGCATATATATTTAAATGAATTGGTGTTAGTATTTTAGACCTAATTGTTTGAATGCTTGATTCACAAAATAAATAACAAAATAAAATACACAACACGAAGATTAACACTAATATAAAAAGCCATAAAAATGGTTGTGAAAAAACACAACACTACACTTGAAATTTGAGTTGATGCATGTATATGACGATGAAGGTCCAAATTCAGCCAACCTAAAATTCACCCAAATACCCATATCTATCCAAATAAAACAAGAGTCATACCGTTAACTTTTCTTCAACTTTTTACTATCATACAAATGCCTTTCGCAAACTCTAATAGAAAACAAACTACATACAAAATGAAATATAAACTATGTCTAATCATACTCATGCCACTTAAATTTGTGTACTCTTCTAATGTGTTAGATATATTTGAACGCCTTCACACGAATAAATTCTGAAACAAACTCATGCCAAACATCAAACTCTACAACTTACAAGATGACAGCGGGACATGTCAGGTTGTGCTAGCATGCCAAGTTAAATTCAACTTATTTTATTTGCTACATCATAACAATTTTTTCTTCTCCAATAAAATTGTGGCTCAAGCTTGACTCACGATCTAATACACACAATGGTGCATCATGTCTATCTCATCTCACGTCGTCCGTGCCACAAGTCATTCCAATCAAGCAACATTATTACTACTAGGTATAACACTAGGCCGATCTAACCTGACCCGACTCGACTCAGCACCATTTTGTGCTTCTCCAATAAAAATTGTGGCTCAAGCTTGACTCACGATCTAATACACACAATAGTGCATCATGTCTACCTCATTCTCGTTGTCGTCCGTACTGCAAGTCATTTCAATCAAACAACATCATTATTACTAAGTAGTATAACATTAGGCCGATCTGACCCGACCCGACTCGACTTAACACCATTTTTATTACCGGTACAACCAACAAACTAATTAGGATAACCCATTAACCCACAAAGATTGGAGGGAAAAAACTCAAAAAATTTCACCCAAAAAGCAAAACTCCCGCTTGTGCCAACTGCCAACCTCATAATCACAAAAATCCATCCATCACTTCACCGCGTACATATATATACTCATACCCCCAAAAAACCAAATGACAAAAATACCCTCATCAAAACGTTGACCCTTTAGTTCACCCTCAAGGGTAAAATAGTCAATAAGACGCCGACGTCACCATCTATATATAAACCTCATCAGCTCTATATATCTCTAGATCTTTCTTACCTCTCGTTCGCAACAAACACCCTTCGCTCTCTCATATATCTTCGAATTCTCTCTCTCTCCTCATATATATAAGACTCAATTTCTTCAAATTTGTTACAATTTTACATATAAAATACCGTTAATTTCAAATTCTTGGCGCTTGATTTCTCAACCGTTTGATATAAAGTTCTTAATTTATAAACCCTAATTTTTGGATTTTCTTATTAATCAGGTAGATTTGTGCTTCTTCTTTGCTGAATTTGTTAGATCTTGTATGGTTTTTGGGTGATTGTTTTACTTTGTTGTTGATAAGATGATGAATTTGGAATCTGGGTTGTTTTTTTTTTTAACGTTATTGAGATTAATTTCGTTGCTTATTGGATCTTGCTTCGTTAATGGTGATTTTAATTGGTGGTTGAGGACGTTGTTGTTTTTGTGATGAATTGTTTGGGTTTTGATGATTGACTAATTCTTTTTTGCTTTGATTCAATTTGGGGATTCTAGGGTTTTCTTTCTCTCTCCAAAAGTTCATCAATTGTTTAAACCTATACCGATAAATACCCACCTGCAAATTCCAATCTTATGGAGTAGGAAATATCATGCTTTTTTTTTTTTGTCGGAATTAATATGGGATTTTGTAATTTTGCAAGAAAATAATTCTGGGTTGTAAATAATATTCCCTTTCTTCTATATAAGCTACATTTATTCCGACAATTAAGATAAGATATTCTTGATTATGTTTGATTGGTCGTAGAATTTATTCTGCCATAATTTATATTGTAATTTTGGTGGTAAATTTATGTCCATTGATGATTGATTTGTGTTGATTTTTGCACCTTTATTTTGATAGTGGTGGATTGTTAAGACTTTGATTCTGCCAAATATTATGTTCTATTAATGTTAATTTTTTCCCCATTTTGACAGCTTGTGCTAGAAGGTTTTAGTGTGAATTGGACGAAAGAGAAGAGAGTGCGGGTAAAAGTATAAATGGCAGAACAAGGCTTGGAAGGTAGCCAACTGGTCGATTTGTTGAGGCATCCATCTGGGATTGTCCCAACTCTTCAGTAAGTCTCTATGAGCTCATTGAGCAATGGTTTGTTTTGACACCTCAAAATGTTGTTATGGTAGTAATCTTCCAGAGATGCTGCAATATTGTCGAGTTGTTGTGTTCTCTTTCGAGATTGGCTATGGCGGGATGGTGTTGAAAATTATGATCATGTATCCCAGCAATGTAAAGAGGGAATGTTTCTGATGTACTTGTTTGAAGTGATCATTGTAGCTTTATACGTTTTGTAATGTTCAGCATAATGTTGTAAATGACTTATTTTTCGCAATTTCCTATCGCAATGTTTTTGAGTACATTTATCATGAATTTTCGTGATAGTTGATGGTTTTGTAAACCTAGGTGTATACGGTAATAATAGAGATGTCTAATGGACAGGCAACTTGTTGGAGATTATGTATTTGAGATTTTGTAGATTTCTTCTTTTGTTGAGCATGTAATGGAGCCTGTGAAAATGGAATCTTTGTTCTGCTCACCAGTTTTGTCTGTGTCACAGGGTTATACTTTGGATGATATATAGGTGATAATGTTAACCCTTACAATCTCAATGGCCTCTATTTTGTAGTGTGATTGGGTTTGTTTTGGCAAACATTTTCTATCTGAATTTCCAACTTTTAATGCGATTTAAAAGCTTACTGCACCAGATTCTTAATTCATTTATTCTACTTGACAAATTATTTGTGCAAGTATTTTGTTCTGCCCTTTAGTGGCAACTCTTCTTCTGTTAGTTTAATTTAGTTTTGATTTTTCCATATGGGTCTTGGGGTTCTAGATGGATTATTAGACTTGTCAATTCAGACATTGGTGTTTTTTTTCTTAATACTTTGTATTTTTTTTTTTCCTGAATCAGTGAGTTTGTTGTGTAACTGTAGCCTTACAAATGTCTTCTGTTGTCCACTGTTCTTACTAAACCTTAGCAAATCTCAATTTAAAAATTAAGATAGTCTGGCCATTATGTAGTTGTAGCCTAACTGGACCTTTTCTCTATACTAAGATCACCTTCTCCCCTTTCCCCACCCTCTCCCCTACTTAAAGCCAGGATGGTTAAAAAGCTGGCATGCAGCAGAAATTCATGATTCATCTATATTTTTCTACCTGCATGATGTGTTTCTTACCTGAATGTTAGCATCTCCTTGATGTGTTTTTTTAATCTGAATGTATTTTATCTGAATGGTGTTTTCTCTATGGCTTGTTTCTGGTCATAGGAACATTGTCTCAACTGTCAATTTGGACTGCAAGTTAGAGCTTAAAGCGATTGCATTGCAAGCTCGTAATGCAGAGTATAACCCAAAGGTATACAATTGTCATAAAGTTGACATTTTTCTTCATGCAGTTTGCCTTCTGCTTGTTAGTGCCTGAAATACTCAAATTTGTACTTTCTGTTCTGTTTAGCGTTTTGCTGCAGTGATTATGAGGATAAGGGAGCCAAAGACAACTGCCTTAATCTTTGCTTCTGGCAAAATGGTGAGTTTGAACCTCTGAAAATGCTTGCTTCAAGAGCTCTATCTTTTTAGGTTGACAAACTTCTCATAGGGAACTAGAAAAGCATAATAGCTAGACAAAGAATAGCAGGAATGTGGCACTACATCATAAATATTAGGCATAGTAAATGGCGTGACATTTTGCTGGCGTTGTTTATTTTTAAAAATGTGATAGTAAGCATAAAGCTTTGACACCCAAGTCTTAGGTTTTAGTACCAACAACAATATGTGTTTAAAGGTCTGGAAATCTAGATAGAAAATTATTGCCAAAACAAACCCAATCAACTTCTCAGTCTGTTATATTGCTCATATTTTGTTAAGTATTATTAGTGTTCAATTGGTGCTGATGCTTTCTGATTGCCTGGTGGTTACTTTATCAACATAGGTCTGTACTGGAGCTAAGAGTGAGAATCAGTCAAAACTAGCAGCTCGCAAGGTTAATTTCATGCAGTTGAAGTTTTTGCTTTTGTTATTTGTGTGTATGGGAATTCAGTTTTTCTAATGTAAATTTCTCTTTCTTCTGATGTTCTCTCTTTCAGTATGCTAGAATCATTCAGAAGCTTGGATTTCCAGCAAAATTTAAGGTATTATTCTCCTATCTTTTCTTTGTCATTTTCCTTTCTTCTGTCTTTTAATTTATCTAATTGTGAACAAAATGTTGATGGTTCCATTTATCAAGTCTCATTGTAGATGATAAGAAATTCTAAAAACTACTACTTACGCAGGATTTCAAGATTCAAAATATTGTTGGATCATGTGATGTTAAGTTTCCTATCAGACTGGAGGGGCTTGCATATTCTCATGGTGCTTTCTCTAGTGTAAGTATTTTTAGCCTATTTTTCTCCAGCTCCTTTTTTCCCTTTTGATTCTGTGAATGCTTTTTACTTTTTTGGTGTGTGCTTGTTGCCATGACTTGTCTTTTTCTCCCTATCTTGGCTGCAATCAATCAACAACGCTGGTCATCTTACAAGGGTTGACATAGAATTTTGTGACCTTAGCTACGAGTCTGACTATTGTTTCCTTTTGCTTTCAGACAACAGTTTCAAGTATCAAGATATTTTAATCCCTTTTGGATAATTTGATGGATCTTCTGTTTTCTTTGAGCTTTATTGTGTTTCTGAATGTTTGGTGATGTGTATATTTTGAAGTGTTTAGTAAATAGTATCATTCTGGCTGGCTGAAATTTATTTTCTTCATGAGAATATGAGTGTCATGATGGCCACATATGGGATTTCATGCCCTTCATGTTTACCTTTGAAACCTGCCCCTGCCTTTACCCCTGCTGTTAAAATAGAGTTCCCTTGGAGCAGGTTGACGTTCATTTGAGTTATCTTGATGCTCTTTACTGCTTTTCTGTCTCTTGGGTGGCTTGGTCCGGATTTGATGGAAGGCTGAAAGTATCGAGTATTTTATTTCATGCATTCACATTTATTCATGGTACTTGAGCCTTTTGTAATAATTTTGTTGCTGATTTTATAATGGTAAGAATGCAGTAGTGATGGTTGCTCTTTTTGTTCGTGTAGTATGAACCAGAACTATTTCCTGGCTTGATTTACCGAATGAAGCAACCCAAGATTGTGTTGCTTATATTTGTGTCTGGGAAAATTGTTCTCACAGGAGCTAAGGTAAGATCGTTCACTCTGTAAGCTCAGACCTTTACTCTACCCCCAACCCTATATAACCTAGAAGAAATGTATTTTGAGAAAATTGGTTGTCTTTTGATCTGCAGGTGAGAGAAGAGACTTATACTGCATTTGAGAACATATATCCAGTGCTTACCGAGTTTAGGAAAAGCCAGCAATGGTATGTACAACTGCTTGTGTTTTATGTTACTACAGATGTTTGCATTTTGTTGAATGTCATTACCTGCCAGTCAATTGTAGACCATGGGAATATTATCTGACAAGTATACATCATGTGTCCCTCAGGTTTTATTTATCACCGTCCATATTGAGATTTTACATCTATGCAAAGCCACAAAGTAGTATCTTTTGGTAGTAGTTATTTAAGACATCATTAAAGGAAATACAGAGACAATGAAAGTTTAACCTAAAAACATTAAAATTGACTTAATTTTAAAAATGAAAGTACATTTCTGGTGTGTCAACGGGGAACGAGAGTGTATTAAGCTTATACCATCTAAAAGGCTTATACCGCTTATTCGTCCATTTTCCACTTACAACTTGCTGTTTTGTCATGACAGATACTTATCATGAAATCAAGGGAGTTGCTGAGCAACATCTATTCTAGGACTTTTCAATGCTTCATCAACTTAATTGTAAATAGATGAAAGGAGATCTTGGTGCCTGCTGCGGATTCAATGATGACTTATATATGCGTGGCTGTGGGTGTCACTCATGAAAACATTTTTTTTTTTTCCATTTCCCCCTTCCCCTAGATGGTATAAGCTTCACAAACTCTAGTGTCAAAACAGCAACTGATAATGAGAATTACATAAATTTTGGATCAAACTCTTTTAGATGGTTGTGTATTGCTTTGTCCTCTTTTTCACCTTTGGCTTTGTGTGAACCGTCTAAATTAAGATTCAAAAAATTAGCTTTGATCCAGATATGCTATTGTTTTTTTCGCAGCAAAGGGCTTGAGTTGGCTTTCTCTTCATTATATTGTCCTGATGTCTCTGGGGTGAATCTAATAACAGCATTCTAATTTGTAGAAGTTGCTTGTTATTGTGTGGAACTGTGGATTATGCAAACTCCAAAAAGTAAGATATAACAAACTAACAAAGTAATTAGAGTAAGCAAGAAAATTTATGATTACACCAAATTAACTTGATTTCCATATATATACAAGAAAACTCAGTTGTTAATTAGACATAGCAATATATTACAGACCCTACAAAAGAATCATACCACTAATCTCGAAACTTAAACCATAAAACAGTAACTGAAATTTGTTTAAGCACACAGCGAGCACTAATTACGCCCTTAATCTCAGTTTCGAGTAGGAAGATTCTTCAGTCAGTTTCATGGTCAGGAACTGGAGAATACCAAGCAGGGTGTTTGCCCCTATGCCTTAGCATCCTAGTAAAAGAAGAATCAGGCATCATTGATTTCTCGTCTTCCTCAATTTCCTCAGCTGACCTGGGCAATCCATCTGGTACATGTACGTGTATCTTTCGTTCACGTTCACCCTTCGCCTTCTTTTCGTCGCTTGCCTGAGCATTAGATGCCTCCTTGTGTGCTTTGTGAATGGCTGCCACTCCATGGAGACACCCTATTAAAGATTTAACTCCACCCGCTTCGATTATTAGCCTCTCCACCTCTTCTTTTGAGGACTCCTTCTGTAAAGTTTCATCAATAACATAAATCCTAATTAGAACATACCCTTCTGAAAGTATGTCACGTATACTATTTTAGAATGTCTGAAACAAATCATCACAACTTCTCATGATATAAACAAGATGATAATATGATATAACTATTAAGTCTAGATGGAAGAAATAACTTAGTTAAATGTTAAGCATACTTTCTCAGGATGTTCGGAATATATGATAACAATTACTCGAACTATATTAAGGCGATGTGACTATTAATTTCGGATTGAATGAATATTGACTAACAATCCTTACCTCGAGTTCTTTGAGCTCGAAATAAGCTTGCCAACAACTGTAAGAATCTTCACCTTCAAGGACTGAGCAATAATCTGCATCAAACACCAAACACCAAACACCCATTCACAAAAAAATAAAAAAATAAAAATCAATAGTTGTGTTACTAAATTCAAAGAAAACAAGAGAAAATTACCAGCAATTTGAGACTCAGATTTCTGAATCAAAGGAGGATCTTTTACAGCTCTCTCAAACTTGCTTCTGCTAAAAGGCTCCAATTTTGGCACCTTATATTCATGATTTTTCGCATTGCAATTTATGATTGAATTAAATCTCTTAGAATAATTACAATATGAAAAATAATTTTTAAATTCTAATAATGATGTTGATGAACAACAATTAGATGCAGGAATTGCCATCGACCCACTAATCATATTAATAAAAACAAAAATTTGAATGAATTATTTTTATGTTATGAGATAATTTATGATGTTTTTGATAAAATTTGATTTGGGTTTTTCTTGTAAAAGGATAGATCTAAAGATATTAATACTTGTAAATGTTGTACTCCTAATTGATTGAATAAAAAATGCAGGGGTTTGTTTTTGGATAAGATGGAGGGGATATTTATTTTGATATTTTTGAGAAGGTTAGAGTTACTGTCAGTTTGGGATTACGTGGGTGACAGACCAATTATTTGTTAAACGATGTGGAAAATTAAGGTAAAGATGAGACCTTGACCGTAAAAAGTGGATGAGGGGTTGATAAATGACATTCAATGGTGGTTAACATGGGAGCAACTTGCTCGCAATATTCCAATTCTAGGGGCCGCCGTATCAATTATCGAGTACTCGAGTAACATGTTTGCGTTTGGTGCATGGTTTTTGCGTTTTTGAATTAAGGTATTTTTGGGTTCATAGGGTATGACTTGGAGTTGGATTGGTTTATTATGACCCTACTTGGTGATTACTAATTAGATGGTACCTGATTGATATAGGGGTGCTTAAAACCTGCTTATAAGACGAGATAACGCACGAGCTATTCGAGTTCAACTCGGTCAAAATTCGACTCGAGCTTGAGATTGACTCGAAAATGTTAATTAGTCGAGTCGAGTAGCTCATTGTCCGACTCGAAAGCTCGTGAGTAGCTCGAATTCCTTTATATAATATTATATTTACTAAAAATTCAAATATTTTGATAAAAAAAACCTTTTTTTTACATTAATAATTAATAAATAAAATATTATTTATGTACTCGTATCATCATATGTATATTTCTCACATGACAAAATTAAAGAGAATGAAGAGATGTTACACTAAATAAAGAGTTTTACTAAGACAGATCAAATTGCAAGCTACTCGGGATTGACTCGGTCAAAACTCGATTCGGTTAAATCTCAGTCAAAACTTGACTCAATTAAACTCAACTCGATATGTTAACGAGTCGAGCTACCCCAAACTCGAACTCGACTCGCATCATAAGAACCCCTAGGTTGGTTGTATAAACTGGTTTGACTAGTTGGTTGTAGATAGCTGATGGTTTGATTAGCTGGTTGTAAAATGTTGATTGTGTAAAATATTTAGTAAATAGTTGTTAATTGTTAGCTGTTTCAGTGTTTTTAATACCTAAAAAAGCTAACTATTCAATAAGCTAATTTGAGATCGCTCTAATAATGAGCTTTTTCTAAAAAAAAGTTTTTTCAGCCCAAAAATCTATGTCAATAAGCTATATTTCAAACATCCAAATTTGCTTTTTAAAATGGGCAAACCTCTAATAGGGCTCAAACAAGGCCTATGACTTATAAGACATGTAGTCCAAACTAATTAGTCTTTTTTTTTTCCATTCATTTTTGACTTAATAAAGTACAGTTAAAATAAGATTGATATAATCTTCCCATTTACATAATTTTGACACTTAAATTAACAAAATTTCTATGTTTACGAATGCCCCTCGAGATCTGTTGTGAAGATTCGACATTGAATGCAACTTGGTCTCGATTTTTTTTTTTGAAAGCAAATATGTGTAAAAACTAACAATAACAAGTATAAAAATTGATCCAACTTATTGATATTATTCTATTTGTTCTTAATTAAATATTGGAATCTTTAAGTTACATGTTAACTAGAGACACACCTAATAGTTATGCTAAGGTTCTATTCCCTTCACATAATATTTACTGAAAATAATTAGTTCTATTAAAATTAAGTTATTTTATTGATTCGCTATTACTCCGTACATTTGTTCCTTGTTATTTATTTTTACTTAACTTAGTTTTACCTAGTATTATTCCATATTGTTGTAAATTTTAAGGTAGAGCAAATCGGCTTTAAACTCCTTGCTTGAAAATTGAAAACTCACTATTGTACCCAAACCGAATGACCCGTTTAGCCACAACGCAAAAAATATACAGTAGGTTAATTTGTGGTAAGGTATCCAAGAATATGGATGATCCTTCATTTCCCTTTTCCCACCAAAACAAACCGTAAATTGTCCAACCGGTAAAAATTCTTGTAACGACAAAATTCACCTCTACTCAGATTCCTCAAAATTCCCTTCTTATTTTCTCTCTCTTCCTCTAAAATGGCAGACACTGAATCTTCTTGTTCTTTCTCGTCGTTTGCATCTCGCAATCCCTAAATTTTCCGATTTTGACTTCAATTTTTTCCCGTGGCAATTCAATTGGGCGACCCAATTTTATCCCAAGAAACCCTAACTTTTTCGCGAATGATCTTCATCTTCCTCGACCTTAGACATACGATTCAATCTTTCACCTTAATTAGCTTGAATTGGAATTGGAATTGGAATCTTGATTTTCGACATTATTAAGCAGAAGAAATTTTTGGGGTTTTGACGCAATGAAGCGTCGGATGGAAAGCATCCAGGATCTCATTGAAGAAGCTAAAGTTCGTTTTCTATGGTGGGCTTTATTCATCTTTTCTATTACGTATTTCTTATCTCGTAAGTTCTTTCTCTTTCTCCTTGATTTTTCAGAATTCTTTATTTTTTTGTTGATTAGTTGTGATTTTTGTCGCTATTTTTTTGTACTTTTTGGGGTTGTTGTTTGATTGTGATTGTTTTACTTTTGTTTTGAATTTAATTTTTTAATTTCGAATAATGCTTTTGTTATCACCATCTGTCTGTTTGAGAAGATGATGATGGTTTGGTGATAGATAAGTTACTACCGCGATTGACGAAAGCTATGTGGAAAATGTGGGCTTGAGGAAATATGTATAATTAGATGCAAAGTGAATAATTCTAACTGGGAAAAAATGCAAAGTGATTATAATGGCATTGCTGTATTGGTAATTGCCATTCATGGAGCTCAATGTGGGGGTAGCTTTCTAAATTATGGTATTAACATTATGAGAGTACTAGTTTAGTTGGATCTTGTGAACATGGAGTATCGAGGTAATGCCTGAGATATTGCAAGTTTGAAGCAGATGAAGGTGCTTGAAGGGCACGGATAAGTGATAGTTCATGGTGGACTGGTGTTTATGACTGTATGTTGAGAAGCTAGAAATGTCTAAGAGTATTATGTGTCACTTGTCCTTTACACCATTCTTACTTCCCAAATACATTTGGGTTGTTAGAGGATCTTCAGTGAATACTTCTGGTCGAAGGGATGCAATATGTTTTTATACCATTTTTAACCCCGAAGTGGCAGACCCAAAACTTAGCTGTTTAGATTTCCTTCAACTTAACCATTTCGTAGATGTAGTCCAAAGTGACTTTAGGCCAATTAATGGCTTCAAGTTTGTCAAGGTCTTCAACCACTTTCTATAATTTACTTCTTGGCCTTTTGTTGGTTAAAGAAAAAACTAGATCCTTTTTAGCTCTGCTGAACTCATAAGCGGAATTTCATTTTTTCCCCTCGCTTTTCACCTTATTTATCTCTCAATTTTCTAACAAAAGCAGGAAAGTTGTATTTTGGCACCTGTGCAATGTCAATATTGTTACCAACATAGGCAATTATGTTGGATTGAGTTATGAGCTATATTTACCTTTTCTTCCCTCATTACTATTGTTTCCATCATTGTATTTGTGGTTTTAAATGGTGTATTGTGAGTATTTGCATTCTTTATTTTGGAATAAAGCTTGAAGGCTTTATGGGAAAGCTTTTTTTATGGAACAACTGCAATCAACTGATTAGTGGGTTTTTTAGTTGCATCCCAAGGCATGGATTTTAATCCAGTTTTATGAGGTTTTAGAGCTTCTGATACTCTCCCTAAGTCAACTTAATGATGTAGTACTTTGCTGGAATGTGTGCAGATACAAGTAAGTCAATGTGGATGAATGTCCCAGTTGCAGTCGTGATTGCAATTCTTTTGCGTCAATTAACAAATCAAGTAGAATTTCATTTTAAGGTTCCATCAACCAGCAAACAAATATACCTCTCTCATTTGGGGAAGAAGCAACTTTCAGTGAATGATTCTCGGCTGTCTACAGTTCCTCCCCTGCCAAAATGGAGGGGGAAATTTGAATCACCCATTGTAGAGGCTGCAGCTGAGGACTTTGTCGATAAAATCATAGAAGATTTTGTTACGGACTTGTGGTATTCCGGTATAACACCTGACAAAGAAGCCCCTGATCTGATGCGTGGCATTATATTGGAAGCCCTTGGTGAAGTTGCTGGAAGGGTAAAGGAAGTGAACCTTGTTGATTTGTTAACAAGGTAAATCATTTATTTTCCTATTAATGTGCCTGCAGCTTATGTAGTTGCGGCCTTTTGAGCTCTTGCATCGCTAACAAATTTATGTATGATGCTTCAGGGATATAGTTGACTTAATTGGTGATCATCTGGAATTGTTTAGAAAAACCCAAGCTTCTATTGGTGTAGATGTTATGGTTACTCTGTCTTCTGAAGAAAGGGATGAAAGACTCAAACACCATCTTATGGCTTCCAAGGAACTCCATCCAGCATTGATGTCTGCTGACAGTGAGTACAAGGTGTGAAAGGAGTTTTATGAAGCTAAACTTTTTCCACTTTTTTTGGCATTTCCTTCTAAATCCGTTGCTTGTGTATAACTTTCTTCCTGCTCCTCATAGGTTCTGCAGCGACTCGTGGCTGGATTACTGGGTTTGGTGTTAAGGCCAAAAGAAGCGCAATGTCCTCTTGTTCGATGCATCGCCCGAGAGTTTGTAACTTGCTTAGTACTGCAGCCTATTATGAATCTTGTGTCTCCAGAGTGAGTCCAAGATATCCCCTTTTCTCCTTTCCTACTTATTGTTAATGTTTTGGGGTTTCCTAATAACTTCTTTCTGATCTAAGTGCCTTTGGATGCTTATTGACATGAGAAGATTGTGTATTATTTATTCTTCCATTAGCCAGTTTAGGTAGTCAGGATCATATTTTCTTAGACAAAGAACTGGGAAGAGCATTAGTTGCTCCTAATTAACCTTCTAGGGGATGCAAGGTGTGGATTTTCATCAAAGGGATTCTGGTAGGGGTTTAAGGGTGGAGTCACACCATATTTGCTTGGACAGACAAAGAGACCTTTGTCCTCGAGTGGTCCAGTCAATCTTTCTGACCTCTGATATATGGTGTAGATGCTTTTTAACCCGTTCTTTTTTTATTTATGCTACATCCTTTTTATTTTTTTTGCATATGGATACCTTCTTTCTTCGTGCTCTGAATCTGAATATTCTTAGGATTACTTTTTTTTTTGACTTGTCATATGACACCAGTCAAATTTTCTAATATTTTTCCTAGGACCAAATTATGTGATGTCAAGCAAGATGTGACTTAATATAGTAGACATTGTCTTATAACACATCTTCGTACATCTAATATATTATTGACTTCAATTGTGTGCCATCTCTTCTCCTTATCCTGCAACATAGCAAGTAGTTTTTGTTTGAATAATCAAAACTGTATATGATTTGTTTACACTTATCTATATTCTGATATTTTCTGTTAACTAAATGATGCTTTTGGAGGTTGAATGGATGACCAGTTTGCTCAAAGAACCTTTCTTGCTTTCTTGTGCTGGGCTGTTAGGTACATCAATCAGTTGGTAGAGATTATTCTTCTTCATGTCAAAGATTTTTTAACTGGATTAGATGGTGATGATCAACCATCAAAGGCAGATAATGATCAATCTGTTGGTGAAGGAAGCATAGGAACTGATGAAGCTGGATTCAAGAGACGTAAAGACTTCCGTAATCAAGAGACTGAAATGCCACATGGTGATAGGGATGTGCAGAGAACATTGGCTTTGGAGGCTTCATTGGTTCCCTCTTCTAATCTATCTTATCAAGAGTCTGTGCAGCCAAAAGTTGCTGACTGGGCACGAGTATTGGATGCTGCAACCCAGAGAAGAACTGAAGTTCTTGCTCCTGAAAATCTTGAAAACATGTGGGCTATAGGAAGGCACTATAAAGAAAAAATCAATAAGTCTGCTAAAGGGCATCCTCCTCAGGTACCAGATAACAAATTAGTGGGCCCCCTTGCTGGATCAAAGACCTCCGATTCAGCTAAAGACGGTAGCAACAAGAAGAAAAGAGTATCTGCTGATGTGGAAAGGGGTTCTTCTTTAAAAAGCACAGCCTTTGTCTGTGAAGTTGAGGGTGCCAATATTATCACAGCTGATGGAAATAAAAGTAGGCTTAAGAGATCCTGTAGTACTTCTGATTTAAAAGTTGAATCAGAAGAGAAAAGTCCTAATATTGGTGTAAGCCAAAGTCTTCTAATTTCAGAGGACTTTTACAGCCCGGATTTTGGAAAACGCAGTGAACAGAAAAAAATTGATCTTTCAGGTTCAGTGATTCGTGCCGAGGGGTCTCACTTTCCCAAGCTTATGTGTCGGGTTAGTTACATTTCACTGCTACTTTCTTACTTGGGCAAAAATATGAAAGTACATTTGTTTGTAGTTTGCAACCTGGCAGGAAATCCTGTTTTATTGCCATATTTTCTTCTGATATAAAATAGTAATCATGATCACCTGTTTGTTCATTTTAATTGATTAGTTAATTACCTTTTCGTGATGTCAACAAATTGACATGAATGACAGGTTGTAGGAGCATACTTTGAGAAAATTGGATCCAAATCTTTTGCTGTGTATTCTATTGCTGTCACGGATGCACAGAATAACAAATGGTTTGTGAAAAGGAGGTGTGTACCGGTTACTTCCTCTTCTATCTTAATATCTGAAACGTGAATCGTCGTGCCTTGCAGTGCTCTTATATTCTGGTCTTTCATAAACAATCATTGAATTATCAGAAGTTGACATTGTTTGTGAAAACTGTTACTTTCTGTTTACTTGAGCTATCCATGACTTCTTATTGTTGTCTGTGAAAACTGTGACTGACTGATTCCTTCTTTTTTTACCTGTTGTTTTGTATCTTACTCTTTTGCCTGATATGTGTCGAATTTATTAAGCTACTTATTTGTGCCTTTATGCTTATATGATTACTGAGAAATCTGCTTTGATATTTTTCTGTGCAGATACCGGAACTTTGAGCGACTGCATCGACAACTAAAGGATATTCCCAATTATAACTTACATTTGCCCCCAAAGAGGATATTCTCATCCAGCACTGAAGATTCTTTTGTTCATCAGCGTTGTATCCAGCTTGATAAATATCTGCAAGTATGATTTGTGTATGTTCAACTGTTGAAATTCTCTTTTTGGGTACCATGATCCTTCTAACATCTAAAACCCGAATCATTGTGTCTTAGGATCTTTTATCAATAGCCAATGTTGCTGAACTGCATGAAGTGTGGGACTTTCTCAGTGCTTCTTCAAAGGTGAGCTCTTCGTGATGTTTCATTTAATCGCTTAAAAGTGATGATTATGCTTAACTCTAACATGAACACACATGTGTATTTTTTGAAGAATTACTCCTTTGGAAAGTCACCTTCAGTGATGAAAACACTTGCAGGTATGCTGTTCTAATTTTTCTGCACATCCTCAGTGTTGATTTTGAGCTTAATTCAGTTGTAGGATTGTCTAATGTTTTTGATGTGATATTGTTCACCTAGAGTTTAAAGCTCATAATCTGTGCTGGTTGCAATTTTTATAAGTTGAGCATAAATGTGACTTCTGTGTGATTTACCCATGAAAAATGACATTAATTCTTCGTTTAGCCCTAGACAGGATGAATGCTTTGAAAGAACTGAAATTGTTGGGCTTAAGTTAGCATACTGGTACAGACGTGATGTCTTCAGATTCTATATCTTTATTTTATTTTTTTTGCTGTGTGGAAGAATATTACATTGTTTTAGCATTTTGAATTTTTTTTAAGAGGTTTATTCTGTAGATTTACTTAGCTTTTTTTTGTTATGGTCCTAATACTTTCTGATTATTGATGTGCATTTAGTTTTGATTGGTGATTGCATAGTTGGCCACAGCCTGATATATGTACTTTAAATTGTGACTCAGTTAATGTTGATGATGCTGTTGATGATATTGTACGTCAGTTCAAAGGGGTCTCAGATGGCTTAGTGCGCAAAGTTGTTGGTTCATCTTCATCACAATTTGAAGAACTTACATCGGTGCCAACCAGAAACTTGTCTTTGAATGAACGTGATTTGATTATGCATGGTTCATTAGATGCTTCAATTGAATCAGCTAATAATCTTTCTGATAATGAGGATGGTGATAAAGATGGAAGTCTTGACCATGACACAGTAGATTCTGGTGATAATGGAAGTGGGTGGCATTCAGATAATGAATTGAACTCGAAGAGCTTTCCACCACGAGTGGTCAAGAGAACCAGAGATGCTATACACTCCAATACTGAGGCGATGCGACCCTTCGTGATGAAATCGAACTCAGTTGGAGTAGCGAGTTTGCCAGCTATGCCTCATCCTATGGGTGATCCTGTTGGAGTGCCACCTGAGGTATAATTATTTTATTAAAAGTCTAATCAAATTACCATTTGTATAATTATGACAAGCTCCTTTTTTTTTTTTTTCTTCTTTTCTTTTTTTTTTTTTAAATAAAAATTAAAAGTAGTTGTTTCCTGGAATTTTCTCCCTTTCCATCAATGTTGTAAGACACTGTATTCTTTGTTACATGATCATCTTGGTTTAAGGTTTGCTTGCATAATAATCTCATTTTTTTTTTGTTACTTTTTAAACAAAACATTTTGTCGTAAGTCTTTGTTTGGTTATGTATTCCGGTATTCCCTGTATCAGTGCGTTAACTAATAGATATGGAAAGAATGTGTTTGTTTTGCTCGTACTCATTATTTAAACCTTAGTTCTTATTAGTCTTCTGATTTTGCTTGTCAAATGTCCTTTAATTTTCGAGCTGAATAGCAAAGTCCCCTGCTTTCATTGAATAAGTAATGCTTGGTTCTTATTGTTTTTAATTATGTTGCAGTGGACACCACCTAATGTTACCGTGCCTATGTTGAATTTGGTTGACAAGGTTTTTCAGCTTAACAGAAGAGGCTGGATAAGGTAAAGTTGTTTGGCTATTTCCCTTCTTGCCATGTATATTTTAAAGTTTTAACCCTTTTCCGAGTATTTGCATGTTGCTGGAATCGGAGATCTATAGGGTTACAGAATATGTGGGTTAGCAGGGAGTTGCTTCTTTTATAGCAAATTTCCTCTGCTATCCATGTCAACTGTGCAATCGCTATTGTCTCATCAACTAATAGCAAGGATAACAGCCTCTTCACACCTGCAGGGCCAATACTACCCCCCCCCCCCCAAAAAAAAAAAAAAAAAAGAAAAAAGAAAAAAACTCTCTCTCTCTCTACAATGTGAATGGTTTTGGTACAATTCATGAATCTATTGATTGAGAAGAATTTGGGAATCATTGCATGGGGATTTCACTAACTTTATTGGTCATTTTTGTGGGTCATACTTTTCACAACCCCTCCCTTTGTGGGAAGCTTAGAACTAAATTTTGTTCTGCTCTTCTGTTGATATTTCCACAGGAGACAAGTCTTTTGGATCTCAAAGCAAATACTACAGCTAGTCATGGAAGACGCTATTGATGACTGGCTATTGATGCAGATTAATTGGTTGCGTAGAGAGGATGTTGTTGCTCAAGGAATTCGGTGGGTCAAAGATGTAAGCACTTGAAATATTCAATTATATACTTTCCCTTTCACTTTTACCATATTGACCTTTTCAGTCTTTTACTATCTTTGGTTATTTTTACATAATAAAGAAAAAATGGAGGGGACATATTAAAGTTAATAGTCAAAGTTATATGTTGGCAACTTGCCGAGCTAATATGGTACAACTAATCAAACGGAGTATATATCAATGTGTTTACAATTTGTTACATATTATATTATTAGGCCTGTGCAGTATTCGTGATATTGTCTCCTTTCATGTATACTTGCAAATTTTAACTGGTAAAGTTAATGCCTCCATGAGACCCACAAATCATTATATTATTTTTCATTGATTTGTCACCATTGTGAAATCACCCAACTAGCTCATCCATTCTTTAGTGTAGCTAATGGGTCTGTTATAAAACAGTGTCAATAGCTTAAGCTAGAAAGTTGTTACTATGCCACTGGAGGTTGTCATCTACCTAGGGCATTAGAGTTAAGGTTACTAATAGCTTTTATAGGCTCTTGTGGATTAATTAGGACATGCAATTCTTATAAAGCACAAAAATGTGCATGACAAGCTATCTCGATCTGTTAAATGGAGAGTGATAGATGTTAAAGGACATGCAATTCTTATAACATAGAAAAATGTGCAGTGCAAGCCATCTTAATCTGCCAGCATCTACCTGGGATGTTTAGTATAATTTCACTTCCTACTACGAAGTGAATTGATCTTGATACCACCTACTGTTGACAAGCTTATCTCAGCAAAGATATGATTCTCATTTGGCTCAAACTGGTGCTGTTGTTTCAAACAGCATGGACGCTATGAGTCTAGAACTGTAAAACCCTTGCAAGATTGCCATGTTCCTTCCAATTACTTAACTCTGTAACTATTCATACACTGAAGCAACTTTTTTTTAAAGTGGGTTTTGGGAAGGACATTATTGATGCTATAAGGGGTGCTCAATTGTGGTTCTTTTGGAGTGCATTCATTCAATGGATTTTTGCCAGTTTTGGACAGTTGGCACCTGTGGTTAATTCAGAATAGATATGGTGAAAAGCGATGAAAGGAATTTTTTAGAGGGTACTAGGGTTAGAGTTTGGAAGGTTGTGGTATACTTAGTGTTTGATAGTACATCAATAGATGTGGTGAAAAGCGATAAAAGGAATTATTTAGAGGGTACTAGGGTGCCATGTGAGTTTGGAAGGACTTAGTATACTTGTTTGAGAAAAGTTGAACGTTAAAATGATATTGAGATGGAATATAGAAACAGATCTCAAATTAGCGGTTAGCTGATTGGTAAGAGCTGGTTGCATTAGCTGGTTTGACTAGCTGGTTGCATTAATCTGTTTGACTAGCCGATTGGTAACAGCTTATTATGTAGAGTTGTTTGGTAAATTAGCTTATTAGTTGTAGTTGTTTGTTAGCTGAACACATGAGATGACAATTTAGGACATTGGCAATTTATTTTTACTTGGCTAGGGTAAGAAAGTGGGAGGGCAAGAATGTGAATTAGAGTAACTTTTTAGGATAAAATTGTCAATTGACATCCATTACTCAATAAGCTAATCTAAAAAGCTCTATTTTTTAGCTTTTTCCAAATTAGCTTATTTGCCTCAATCAGCTCATTTAAAAAGCTCTGTTACCAAACAACCAACTTAGATGATTTATGTAGTCAAACCTCTAACTTGGTCAAATAAGCTCATTTAATGTCAAAACTCTAATTACCAAACATGGCCTATAACTAAGATAGGTTACCCTAGGATGATTTTGGCAATACCCAAATTGATGCTGAAATTCCACACCACTCCTGCTGATTGAGGAAAAAGGGTCTTAATTTATACTCTTCGTATTAATTTGTTGAGGATAGGATGCCTTTTTCTTGTTGTACTTTAATTTTTGAATGGTAAGTTAACATTCCAATCATGAACTATCCCCTTCCGGGTCTTGTACATTATTGCATTTGATTTGTGAGAACAGTACGGAATTCTCATGTATTTGTGTTTATCTGCTTCAGATTCTCTGGCCAGAGGGCAAGTTTTTTCTCAAGCTAGAAATCGGTGGGTGTGGATTGGATGAAATGGATAATAAATCTTTTCAAGCTACACCTCGAGCAGCCAGCAGGAAGTCCCAATCTAGTTCATTTGAGATACAACTTGAGGAAGCTCGAAGAGCTAGTTTTGTGAAGAATATGCTTTTCAGTAAGTGACCTCGATGTGCTGCTTACTTTATGATTTGTACTTGTCTATAAACCTTGATTTTTGTCAATTATTGTCATTTCAATTACTCCTCTCCAGTGTTTAATGAAAGTACTTCTTTATCTTCCCTTGTATGACTTCTTGGTCAATTAGTGACGAAAACTTTGCTGTTGGTTGTTCCAATACTGTTTCTCTTAGTCGTCCAGTACTTGGGTGTGTGGGGACTATTTCTGTTTTTTGTTGGCTCGTTTTAGCCTGAAAAAATGTAGGTTGGTAAAGTTTGGTGCAAGGCTCAACTTTTGATATATTAATTATGTGGACTTGCTTTCTTGCCTTTCTTGCTCCAAATTTTGTTCCATCATTTGCATCCGGGCTGGGCATTTTATGTCAAATTATTGTATCTATAATCTTAAATGAACTCTAGTGCATAGTTGTATTGGTATTCTCATTGAAATTACTCGTGGAGGAGGTGGAGCAATGATATAAAGTTAAACTCTAGGCTCCATTTTTATATGGTTACGAGGTTTACTTTTCTCTCCTCTTTTGATAGATGGAGCTCCAGCACCCCTAGTCAGTATGATTGGTGCAAAACAGTACAAACGGTGTGCGCGGGATCTCTATTTTTTCCTTCAGGTAACAGCTATCATCATTTGCCTTTTAAAGATTTGGGCACGCCTTCTTCCCCTCCTATTTTTACTGTGGTTTGAATGTGCACTTTAAGTAGATGTATTTCAAATTTGCAGTCTTCAGTATGTCTAAAACAAGTTGCCTACGCTATCTTGGAGCTCGTGCTTGTATCAATCTTTCCTGAGTTGAAAGATCTCGTGGATGATATCCATCGGAAGATGCAGGCTCAACATGCGTAAGAATTAACAGGTGGGTAAATCATTTGAGATGTGCTTGTAGCTTTTGGAGCAAATGTTGCAGCTCAGAACAAAGTTATTTTTTGAAGATCATCCATCTTAAAGCTTCTGTGATCTTCCCGAACAAATAAGAGGACAAGTTTTGGGAGAGATCATGGAAGACAGGGAAAGAGAAGGTGATCTGACCCATGCTTAGAGTACAACAGAAGATCACCATGGAAAATGAGGGAAGACGGCACTTTTCTGGACTGGGTTTGGGTATGGATTTTTATTTTGGATTTGGGTATAAGGGGTAAAGCTATGGTGTTTGTGTTCACAGTACAAATGTGTACAGATTTTGTATAGAGAGTCCCACTTTTGTTACCTACATATTCTTCTCTTAGGCAAACCCCCTGAAAAAGGGATTTTGTATTTTTTTGTAAATGTGTAAAATGATGAAACATATATTAGATGAGTGCCATTTCATTGTGCATAGTGAATTTCGGGTTCTTTGTAAGTACCTTAAAAAAGTTTGTGTACTTATCCAAAATTTCATGTGTACACCATTACCTCGGTTTATTGAATATCAAAACAAGATTCTTGAATTTGGCCTTCAAATTAAATGGTGTGTCTTCGAAACCTCTGGTGGATGAATGTTTAGTTGCATAGGTAATATGAGTGCAAAATGGTTAAAATTATACCTAGACGGGGTATTTGTTTGAAAAAACTACATCTCTAAATACGAAGTACATGACCTTGAAGGGAATATTGTAGATGCATTCTTAAGGAATGTTGTAGTTTACCAATAGTCACTTGTTCATTTTCTTCCCGGTTGATGTGCTTGTTGCGACAGAGTGGGTATTCAAAATCGATATTAGATATTAATTATTGACATTTTTCTATGTAAGATTGTTATATATTCTCTTCCTAATTGCAAGTTTTTATGGATTTAAGGGTATTAACATATGTAGCCATTAGGATTATAAATAACCATTTAATAAAAATACATTCACACGTAGAATTGTAGATTGGTGTAATGAATGTAATACGAGTACTCAGTATATATTACAGAGTATCATTTTCCTAGATTTAATTATCCATAAGTAAAGTTTATAAGATGTATATCTTGAATACATTAGCGAGATGAATGTAATTAGATTCCAAATGACTTTCTACGATTTAAAATTGTTCCACATCTCTTTCATGTGGGGATTATGGGATGTGCCAAAGTTATGTGTCACTAATATTCTAATTTCTAATTACCTAAACCAGCTAAGCTTTGTTGGTCATTAAGGCTCATAACTAAGATATATATGACTCATTAAGTGCCTCTTAAATGTAATCGTCAAAGACTCAAAGCATTGTATTCATGTATTGACCATAACAACCAACTTCTTTCTTGGAGCTCAAGTCAACCTATCTATGTTATCCTATAGGACTATAGGTGTTTTCCGTTTGCTAATTAGGAAGGTTCAAAAAGTTCCTAATTTCATGTATGATACGGATTAGAAATTCTCCTGTCGTTCACTATTAAGTGTATGTTTCTACAAGTAACATTTTATGAGAATTATGTAAAATGGAGGGAGTGTATAGTGAGTGCTTTCCCTAAATATTGTTGTGAAAATTTGTAATTTCATATATACCTCTACTTTTTAAATAATTCCCAATATACTGTCCATGTCAGCTGTTTAATGAATTTATTTTTTTATTTTATTTTTTTTCAATTTTTTGATACACGCTATCTCAGATGGCGGTTTATATAGGAAAAACACACTATCAAAATTTCAACCTCATCTCGCTGCTCTCATTCTCCATTGCCCATCATCCATTCTACCCACTCAAATTTCAGATCTCAAACATCTCTCATACATTCTTCAAATTTTCATTCTCAATTGCCTAGCATCTTCAAATTAGGGGATTTTTCGGTTAAGTTTGAGAATTTTTTATTTTTTTTAATTCAATTTGTTCCGAGTAGTTTGTGGAATTATCTTGCAATCTCTAACTCAATCCTAATTTTTTTCATCATTTTATACGAAGTATATACTGTTATGTTCTTCCCCTTCTCTTTTATGTCCCTCCCTTTCTCTTTCTAAAATCATATTACTCCGGTCTTTTCTCACTAACCAAATAAGATTTGATTTTGTTTTTGTTTATTTAATTTGGAGAAGTATAATTAATTTTACCTTGTTCTACTTTTCATCTGAATTCATCCTAGATTATTGTAGATTTTTTTTCAGAGAAGATTGAATCCATTTCATTTGAATTTTTTTTTTTTTTACATGAAATGGAAACTGCCACTTCAGTTGGCCCCCAATTGAAAACCGTTGACTCATCAAGTGGCGGTTTTGTGTTAAATTATTTAAAAAAAATAGTTTTATACTTAAATGGTGACGTGGACAGTAGATTAGGAAATTGTAAAAGTTTAGTTGTATTTATAGAATTGGTAATAGTTGGAGCATTATTTAGGGAAACCACTCATGTATAGTATTTTTGAAAATAGGAGAATTTTGTGTGAAAAAATAAACAAATAAAGACATTTAATGACACTTTGGATACACGTGTTAAATATATGGAAAATGTTAAAAAAAAAAAAAAATTTAATAGCACATAAAATTGGGAGAATGTGCGAGAATTTTACTCTCGTAAAGATAAAATATATACGAGTATGTCAAATTTTCCATGCAAGATTCCTAATTTAAATCATCACTCTCTCTTATTGCCTTTTTTATATATATATATATGTAGCTCTTAGGATTGTGCATAAAAACTAGCAAATTCCCATGATTAATGCATATTACTTATTTCAATGGAATCTAATTAAATATTGGATCAGATTAATAATAAAACTATTAAATGCTTTTAATTGACCTGTCCAACCATCCCTTCAATAAATATGTCCACCCAGCTTTAGTGTATTGTGGTTAACGTTAACTAAAATAAATAATTTTCTCTCCTTAAAAAAAAATATTAAAAAAAAAAAAAAAAAAAAAAAAACTTATAGATCAAAACCATTCAAATACTCCCTCCGCCCGAGGTTATCTGCAACATTTGCCAAAAACGGATGCTTTTATTATCTGCAACAAATTTTTTTATTTCCTTTTTGAGTAATATTTAACTATTAATTACCCACTATTACTCACTTTTTGGTTAGTGGTCCCCTCCACCACCTATTACCCACTACCTAAAACCCACTACAAATATTTGTGTTCACACTATAAATACCAAATATACCCTTATTTTTCAACACTTACATGTTTAGTTTATATATATCATCATATGGGTAATTTTGTATTTTTACCTTTCTCTCTCATTAATTAAACCTACCAAAACTCAATTAACACTCCCCTAAAAGTTTTTCCTAGGATTCCGAAAATATGTCATTTGTTGCACATAAGTACGGGCGGAGGGAGTAATAAAGATTAATAGTCTACCATAAATTGATAATCATGAAAGTGCATCATCCAAAAGTTACTGTACAACTTAAATAAACATAAACAACAATAGTCTCAATATTATCATGAAAGGAAATCTACCTCATAAAAATACGAAGTGATAGACATGACCAAAAGTTGAGAAAGAAAAATCTTAGATCCTAAATAAATGTCTCACAAATATTATCTTCCATATCATCAAGTCTTGCTTTATCAATCTTCAACCTGCACATTATATAGATTATGTCAAAAAAAAATAAAAAAAAAATATAGATGTTTAACTTTTATATAAAAAGTCAAGGGAACATTACCTAACATTTCAAAGAAAAGACAGGATTTAGTGCTAAATTCTCAGCTGTTTTCTTATGCCTTTTATGTGACACGGTAGAATCACCATCATTATTTTATTTATAAGAGCGTGTAGATTTTGTATGACCAGGTTGCTTATAAATGGAACAACTCTTAGACTTTTTTTTTGCTACTTCTTTTCCACCCTTCTCACGCCTCTATTTGGGACGCCCTTTAGTTTTGGATTGTGGAGGGCACAACACATCACCCATGGATGCATTAATTATCGGAGTAAGTTCCTCTACCGAAAACATTTCTTCTTGTACAACTTCTTGAGTATTAGTAGTAGCTTGTAATGCATCTTCTTGAGTACTAGTATTAGCTTGTAATGCATCACAACACCATCGTATAGGTAAATAGGAGAAAGGGATCTTGAAACAATCTTTGTGGAACAACACCCGTAATATATGGCGACAAAGTATACCCAAAAACTCAAAAAAATTTACAACTACACATTGCTGTATTTTTTTTATCCCAAAAGACTCTATGAGAGATTTTATTGTCACCTTCATAATATCTCACCATGAACTCATAACCTTCTACATGAATTGTAAAATATAGAGTTGCCCTTGTAAGTTCTTCTTGAAACTCTTTGAAAGTAAATGGCATAAACACTCCAAAAACTTGTTCTTCCAAAGGTGACTTTGTTTTCAAAAAAGTTGGTTTAATTAAGACAATCAAGCTCAAATGTGCATGTCCTTGAATAATTTCTTCAACACCAATATCCACCAATATTATTTAGCCATAAACAAACAAAAAACACCACCCATAAATTCTTATAAGTAATTTTTTTATGTGCAAAAATATATAGTGAATAGTGAAAAAAAAAAATAGACTAATATGATACCAAACAAATATTATTAGAACATAGTTAGTTGTTGAGATAAAAAAAATACAAACCTGCTTAACAAATTTAGTCAGACTTATATGAGATGAAACAAACCGCTTAATAAACGCGTTTATACTCTCCGATCTTCCGGTAGTTATCATCCCTCCAAAAAAAATTATCACGGAGATAAGTAGGTGTAAAGGAATAAACTAATTATCATATTATTTAGCTTTATGTTTTGTATTTATTCGGTCAATGCTTATCATACTCTAGTTTTCCTAATAATAAGGATATATACTTATCCCTCTAGTTTATCTTGATAGTTGTTAACTAGCTTTGTGGAATTATCTCGTTCATTGTTAGCTATAAATATAGCTTTGTAATTCTGGTTTATTATTCAATTATAAAACCTTCATAGCTTTTGCTAATCTAATAGTAGGTGCCCAAAAACTTCTTATTTTGTATAAACCTTGAATGTGTTTATTGTCTTCCATGTTATACTTTGCTACCATTAGAGGTCAATACTGTTCAAACTCTTCGGGATTAGTCATTTTGTATAACTTGTAAGTTTGGTAGTCATCACGTAGAAGTGCGGCAAACCAACAACTAAATTTTGAAGTGATATGCCAAATACAAAAACTATGCTTTGTGCTCGGCATCTCAATTGCAATAGCTTCGGACATCCATGGATCTTGGTCGGTTAAGATAGTTTTTGATGCTTTTTTCATAATAGTAACAAATGTCTAATTTAAAAAACAAATAAAAAATGTTAATAAGGAATCACTGTATAATGTGAATACATATACTAGATAATTATTATATTTTGTGTAAAAAAAATGAAAATAATATTAAAAGATATACCTTCATTAACCACTTAAAAGTTGATGTTGTCTCGTTACGAAGGAGAGCACACCCAAACAAAATTATCTTTCCATGATTTTTAATACCAACAAATATTCCACAAGGTATGT